TTCATATACTTCTTTATATAGGTATGTATATATATATGTACGTATTTACAATATTTATGTCGTTATGTTGTTTCGTTACAATACATATATGCAACATCTACAGGAAGCGCAACAAATTCATAGCACGACGCATCCTTTGTTCAGTCAGACTGTTCTTTGAGTGTTTATTTTATGTTGTTGAGTGTTAGGACAATGACTCTGCCTGGCAGGATGTTTAACATCAGCAAAAAAAAAACCGTAAGGCTGCTGCAACTTTAAATAAAGAAGAAATGAAAAAAAAGAAAAAAGCCAGCCTTCCATCTGGTTTTCAACGCATCGTGACAGAAAGTCTGAGCAAAATGGCAAAACAACAAAATCGATAACGTCAATTTATATATATATATACATATATATATACGTCATAAAATATGAAAATTCATCCGGTGACTTGCATATTTTGTTATATAATTTAATAAGGGGTGCATAAATTTTGGGATAGAAATGTCAAGGAAATAGACAAGGGTGACATAACGTCCACACGATCTTTGTCATCGTACATCCATCAAAAATTCTAAAAAACAGTTTTGTCCATTCAAGAAAGTTTCCTTTAATTACATTAACGATATATTTTCTTAATCGAATTAATTATTTATTGTTGCAATTATTCAACGTAACCTCACTCTTTTCTTATACGATAACTAAGGCGACATTTCCTCAAGTGTTACATTTTTCACTTTATTTCTCCCTTTTTTTTATTGACTTGTATTTTCATTGCCGCCTAATATATATGACTCTTCTGAAGCAACAGCGTTCAGAACTTACTCGTCATACATTTTTAACTGATTTAACACTTCGTTTCATTTTTCCCACAGTATACTATTGTAGGCAACAAAGAACCATACTGCAAAGTTGAATATGTTATCGTTGCATTCCAGAAGACGCCATAACTAATGCTACAGGATCTTAAATACAACTATTGCTTCCGCATCTAAAAGCATTATCTCCAAGCATTACGCATCACACTATAACTTATTCTAGTGATATGTACATAACGTAGTTTTTTTAAACTCTGTGCCAAAAAAAAAAATTGAAAATAAAGTTATATTGTAGTATATGGTATATTAAGTTCCACATATTAAGTTCCACATATTTATTATACCGATCGTCCGTGCAACTTACAGGTGGCAATTACTGAGATATTTTGATGAAATTTTGCACACTGACGTGTTTTGACTCCAAAGACGAGCCCTCTTGATCCACCTTTTCGGACTAGGTGATTGGCCATATTAAACGAAAAGGAAGTGAGAACATAGAAGTCGGGGAAAGCCGATCGTTCAATACCCTGCCCTTTGGGGTGTTACGTACGTGGATTTCAACTTAACACACACAACAAGTGGTGGAGGGTATAATAAATAAAAACAATGCGTACCGTACTGTATCGACCCCAAGTCTTAGGCCATAAGATTTTATGATAGCTTAAATTTCGTTCCGATCATATATATAACTTCACGCTCTTTTTATATAGAAACAAATTTAACACTACAGTAGGCGTGGCCCACCATTAAATACCCTACATGCCCTACAATTACTTATATAACGACTATTCAAAATAGGGCGTGATATGGGAATTGATGGAAAAAGTAGAGCGATTCGAAGCATTTCCAAGTGCGTTCGCCATTGGGTCGGAACTACAAGTAGTGATAAAAAAATTCTTATTTGATGACAATACGTAAATTCGGCTTAGGTGCAAACTTAGCTGTGAAAAAATGCAATTTAATCGTTTACTGAAAAACAAGAAAATGACTTTCCGGGCAACCTAATAATTCGCAATTTAAAAGAAAGTAGTATTGGAAATGTTGTATTGCATTGCAATCTTCTTTCTGACAGTATAAAGACATGAACAAAAAAGCATCTTTGAAATGTGAAAAAAAAAAAACTTTTTGTTATTATATTAATATGTATGTATGTAAGATTCAGACAAGAGATATTTATTAAAGATAGAAAATCAACAAGTAAAAGTGCTATAGGGCTACCATTAAATAGCCTACATCACCCTATAGGTATTCATGTGACGACCGTCAAATATGAGATGCTATATGGGAAGAGGTCGAACAAGTGGTCAGTTCTGAACCATTTTTAAAAGCGTTCATCCTTGGATCTAAACACTACGATGCGCCAAATATCCTCGAAGGAAGTTAAACAAAAAAAAAAATTAAATGAGACGGACGGACAGACCGACTCAGAAAGTGATACCGAATCGATCGGTATATTAAAAAGTGGAAATATTTCAAATCCTTCTGGGTGTTGCAAACATGCGCACAAAATTAATATGCTTTTCTTTCTATCACAAATTATTAGATCGTGTTCTTAATTCCTCTTACACTCCCAACAATAACCAAAGACTTGTAACAATAAATCTTTCTAAAGAAAAGTACGCCAAAGTCGTAAAGTTTTTTGAAGAAAAACCCAAGATTAGGTTAAGACTTTCTATACAATAAATGGCATTTGGAGAGATTTAAACGTGAATCTAATTGCTTTTCTATGCTAAGCACTTAAGTCATGGTTATATGAATGTCTTATTTGCGAAATCGACTGAGTCTATAAAACTCAAAGGTGTAGAAAATCGCTGAGCTATTTGTTTAACAGTTTTTTACATCATCTGTTTAGTGGCGATAAAAAACGATTTTCGTATGCACTTAAACTTTAATTGTTTTTCTTAAAAAGTTTTGCCTTAGGTACATTTTTTTTACGATTTACATTCGAGTATGAATTGACGGCTTCTGACGGCTATATATTATTTATTATTCAATTATTGCTAGAAAACACATTTCAGTTTAGTGTTTTTAATACTCGGTAGTTGAGAAATTTATTTTGCTTTATATATAGCTAGAATGTGGAGGTCAGTCAATAAAAGGAAGGAAATTATGTTCGACTTAAGCGTAGTTTTTTAAACAATTGGAAAGTAGAGCGAATATGAAGACCAACAACACAGGCCTATGCCGCATATCTATACCGCGTGCCGTACAATGCCGTACCACACTACACAAGTCTATCAAATCTGCAAACTAAAACCCATGTTCAGATAGTCCGCCCACTTAATTTCCTCTTTTTATTTGAGAACTATAACTGTTAGGTTGGTCGGAAAGATACTTCGTTTTTTTTTTTGTGAACAGTGGATCTAATTTCATTTTGTCACAGCCAAGTGCGCATGCCCACCGTCTTCATATGTTTGAGAGGTGACACTGTAAGCCTTACGTGCTTTATCAAGTGTAGAAAATCGAAAGCAACATCTTCGGCGTACTTGACTTCTATTACTAACCAAAAGGCAAAAATTATGCTCAAGCACGAAAAGAATTATTGGACACGTGTGCAGGAAATGAGTGAACAGAAAGCCAGTATTACATACGGGTTGCGAAAATTCGTTTCAACGCTTTTGCATCACATTCCAGAAGGCTAACAGGAACTGATAAAAACAAAGCAAACCGTCTAACGCTTGTGAAATCCATTCAATCCATTGTATTCTAATGTTTTTGATAAATTATTTATGTACGATAATGGAATCGACTTTTTGTTTTGGCCAAAAAAAAACGCAATATCTTTCCGAATCACCCAATAATACAAAAAAAAAAAAATGCACTATAGGGGGGCACGGACCGCCATTAACTATCCGAAACTGCTTCCCTTATTAAAATTACTTACATAGCGACTATTCAAAATTGTGCCTCATAGTAGAAGTGGTCGAAAAGTTTTCGCTCTTGCACCAGAAAATGTCGTTGCGCCGAAGTTCATCAAAACATCTCGAACATTATACATTTCAGAGCGAACATAACAAAACAAGAGGGACAGACGGACCTACAAGCGATCGTTATTAAAAAAATTGGATCTATCTCAAGTCCTTCTGGATGTTGCATACATCCCCAAAGATTTAATATGGCGGTATATCACAAGTGGTGTAGGGTATAAAAAGACAAGATATTTACTATAAAACGGTGATATTTGTAAATAATTATGGATAGAGGAATGAAAGGTGGAAGGAAGAATTAAAATTTGCGTACATTCGACTGGAAAACATCAGGCGGACTGCCGACAACCTTGCGGCAAGTTATGTCTGACGCTCTTGGGGTTCAAACTTTCCGGTTTATTTATTACATGCTTAAAAAAAGATATATTTAAAGGCGTTATAGCTGAGCAAGACTAAGCATTAACAAGTAAGAAAATTATATTCGGCTGAGAGCGAATTTCTTACACCAACCACCACGCTTTGACTTGTTATAAGAAAGTGGTTGGAAAAATATATCTATGGGTCATCTTTTATTTGAATAACAACTTTTCGCATTCTACGCTCCAAGCCCTACCTGCCTATATGGATGGTATTTTGTAGAAAAAATATATCTCCCATGTCGAGACGTCCCCCACAAAAAATCATAAATTTTTGTTTAGAAAAAACTAGTTGCGTTTATTTTACGCTTCACGTGGGCTTATGCTTCGACCATTTTGGCCCATTTTCAACACCAATCTGGGCCCAAAAACTTTCAATGTTTCTAACAAATTTGAAATCGATTTTTAATTTTTACGACTAGAAGAACGTCAATAACATACAACACCGGCCACACAGATGGACAGACATGGCTTGATCAATGCATAATTTCATGCTAATCAAGACTATGTATATACTTTATGGAGTCTCTGAAGCTTCCTTGTGGGTATTCCAAAAAGAGTATACTCTCGTACTGGTGATCAAGATTTAACGAATAGCTATAGGCAGGGCAAGTCCAACATCTCGTTATTCCTTAACAATATCGCTCCATAGAATGTTAGATATTTTTCATAATTAATAGAGAGTTTGTTGAAACATTCGTCTTATTTACTCATAAAAGTCATCATCAAATGCAATCGATCTTGTGTTCGGTGAACATTATTCGAATCGTTTCTTTAGATAATTTATTTTCGTATTCCTCTGACATTTACTATTGTAACATAAAGCTATCCAAGATTTCAAGGGCTGTCAACTGTCAACTTACCTTTTTAGAGCTTTTTTCAATTTCTTTTTCAAAATCCGTTAGGGGAGTTAATGTGACGGTAACATCTTTAATAAGATCACGAAAGGGCCTAAAATGTTAATGGAAAACAATAGAATCTAATAAATATTGTTGCGATGAGAATTTCGCTTATTAATAGCTTACCCATTGACTTCATCGGACATGGAGTTTACTACTTTTGAATCATTTTTACGTTTTTTGGCCACAAATGGAGCAGATGACGATGTCGATGATGATGACGACGATACTGATGATGAAAGAGCGGAAGAGGAAGAGTTATTATTATTTAAATTCGAACTATTGCTGAGTGTGGTATTTGATGAAACATTTGTCGAATTATTGAAATTTTTATTAGAAAGTGAACCTCCTCCTCCTCCTAGGTTTGCCGAGTTTGTCGTTGTTGAAGAAGCATTCATCGAATTTAAAGATTCCTTAGTAGTGGTCGAAGAGAAAATATTGTTATCACTATGTAAATCGCTAACGAAACCCGTTGATGAATTGTTTGTTGTTAGCGCTTGAATCGAAGATGTTCCTTTCATCATATCCTTAGACGTTGTTGTCGTTGAGGAGGAATTAGACGAAGAAGTAACAATTAAATTGACACCAGCAGTCGAGGAATGAGAATTGTAAGCCATTGCACTTGCAGAATTTGAGGATAAATTTTGTACATTTGCTGAATGATGATGATCGCTACTAAAGAGATTTCCTGACGTGCTACTTGAACTGGCCGAACTAGTGTTTATTTGATTTGTTGCATTCATGTTTGTTGACGACGAAGAGGTATTATTATTATTATTATTATTATTATTGTTATTGTTACTGCTATTAACGGGATTGTTGTTAGTATTTATGTCTTGCTTACTTTTCGAAGATTTTGAAGATTTATCTCGAGAATCCCGCGAAGACGAGAATGTTGACGAATAGTTATCCTTCTCTTTATCTTTACTCGAACTGGAATTTTTACTTAAATTTTTACTATGCTTACTCTCCTTATCCTTATAACTGCTTGAACTGCTACTTGAAGAGTTTTTTAAATTGGTTGAAGTGGTGCCAGCACCACCACTACCACCACCGCCACCACCGGATAATGAGCCAGCTATTCCAAAATTAGAATTCGTATTTACCGACGATGCATTTGAACTCGTAGATAAATTTATATTGCTTGAGTTGCCGCCGGAACCACTCGATAAATTACTACCTGTTACGCCATGCAACGAGCTATTTAAATTCCCCGTTGAATTTGCGGTTGTATTCCCTGCGGATGATGACGACGATGATGATGATGCTGTCGATTGTTTGCTAGCGTTCGACGATTTACGCTGTTTGGAGGACGATGATGACGACGAAGCAGAATTCAAATTACTTGTATTAATTTTAATACTAATGGCTGCGGATGTTGTCGAAGCCGACGCATTGGCATTTATATTCGAATCGATTTCCTTCTCAGGCGAGGAGGCAGAATCCGAAGAACTATCGCGACTTATCGGCTTATACGGGGGTATTGTCTTGACATTACCACCTTTCTTAAGTTTACTGTAATGATGTTGACAATATCCACAATATTTAACGTTATCCAAATAATTGCCAGCTTCTTCACATAATAAACCCAAACTTTGAGCACAAGTGACATGAAATTGTTGCTTGCAATTCGATTTATTGCACTGCATACATGCTCCAACGGTAGCACGATTACTTTTACCCACATCCTGGCAGATATAACAGGCTAAAAATGCAAAAAAAGATGCAAAAAAGTTAAAAAAAAAAAAAAGGGGAGGAAAAAAATTTCATCAAAATCTTACTTTTTCCGTAACGCTCTTGGGGTATCAATTGCAATATTATCGGTTCCATGGTAGTAACATTACCGAAGCGTACTTCCGGTATATAGAGAGCACAGACAACGTGAGCCCAACCTTGATTATCGGTCTTTTTTAAAGCACCATCTCGCGAGGGGCACAATTCACAGCGTACACGCGTCGATCTTTCTTGACTTTCACATTTGCGACAATACCATGGTCCGGTTGGTACTGTAACGATACCGTAACATGCCTGATGTACGGCGACAGTACAATTTTGACCGTCACAATATACGAGCGGATTTTCAGGCCAACCCCGCTCATCAGAACAAACACAACAGCCGCCGACCATCTCCTTCATTGTGGTCTGAAATTGCCTTTTACGCTTGCGTGAATCTATTTTTGTAGCGATGCTTCATAACCAGGTAAGGGAAAAAAAGAAAAACTAATTGATTTCTGTCCAATGTATTTTAAAGACGAAGGGTCTGATGAACACGCCGCGTTGAATCAGTCTATAAATAATAAATAAACATTTTAATCATATTATAATATTTAGTTATGTAAAATTCTTGTCGTTTCCAAAATTCGAAAATAATTTATTCATCATTACTTTATATGTGCATAACATGTTCCATACTTTTTTTCTAAATGGGGTCAACGTGACGTTTATTGAACTCTTTGAAAGTTTGAAAATTCCTTAGAAGAAAAGGACAAAAGAAATTTTCTAATTTTGTATTCAAAACAGCCGGCGACACAACTTATCTACGCGCACAAGTTCTACTTGTACAATGTGTCATTAAAAGAAAAAAAAAAAAAAAAACATACTTAATAAAAAGTATATACATTTTTTCATTGGGTTATGAGGTTAAAAGGTGGCCAGCCTGCTGAAGCTTGTTGTGGATAAACAACCTCAACAATTTTAGTCGCCTTAAACTAATACTTTCACGAAAACGTAACCGGTTCTGCTTCCTGTTTTTTTTTTTTTACATCCCTACATCGCTAGTGATATGAGGGCATATTAAGTTTTGTGCGCATATATGCGCCATCGGAAAGGCCTTAAAATAGATTCATCTTTTATTACGCCGATCTTTTCAGAAAGTGATTTAATTATGATTTCGCGTTTGTCAGTCCGTCTTGTGTTTTATAGGCTTCGATTTTTGAGATATTTTGAGGAAATCCGACGTATTTTGAGAGGAAATCTAGTCCAGTGATGTTTTTTGAACCAAGGAGGAAATTGAAAAAGGGCTGGATCTACCGCGTCTCCTGTTATTTTGAAAAGTTGTCGTATAAATAACGGCAAGGCGGTGTAGGCTATGTAACGCTAGGCTCTGGACCACAATAATGCCTTTACTCATTTTTTTTTTATATATTAGATCCACCTCTATACATGTACCTAACTTGACGGGTAAAAAAATTACCTGTAAATGAAGAAGCAAAAGGTTTAATCAATACATAATAGAGTATAAGGTAAGTAAAGCGTCACTACGGTAGCTCGAAGAGCTCTATGATTTATGAATTAGATCTCTTCTCTACATTTTAATTATTCCTTAATAAAAGAATTTGACCAGTCACTCGGAGGATGTCTTCTGAACATGTAAGCTTGGTGGTGCTTAGGCAGATAGAAGAAGGAAGAAGAAATTCAAATTCCAACATTTTTTGAAACAATTCACTAGAGTCAATAAAGTAGCGCCCGAGCACAGCAGGTTAAATATCGTTTAAAACCGCAGATTAATTGGACTGATATAAATGGTGACTGGTGGACGGCAGCATCTTGACAACCAAAATCCTTTCTGACACACAGCACATTTTCCGGGATCACACCTGATCTCAAATGCCGATTATAAACGCTTAATGCGTCGATTTTTAACATTGATACACGTACACCCACCTACGGGATACATTCTACGCACACGCAACCACATGTTGTTTGCTTAAACACCCCGCACCCACATTGCACAACTTTTTCTATTCTCCAGGAAAAGGGGTTGGATTGGATGAAGCGTATTTTCGCACTCTTCACAAACAGTTCGATAGAAATGTTAATGAAATTTGGGACTGATCGTGTTATTCTTGACAGAGACATCGTGTTGATGCGTAAACTTGAAAGGAAAAAACAGGTAAAAAATTATAGCCGGATAAGGTCAAACATTGAATACCCTAGACCGTCTCACTTAATAGGTTTCAGTTATTTTCCTTATAAACAACTAATACTAATTCTTTTTGTCTATGTTTTCATGGTGGCCCTTATATGGAGTAGGACCAAAAAGGTAAATTGACATTATTTAAGTTTAACAAAATTCTGCCTTCTTTTTTCATAAGACTACTTTTCGAAAAAGGCGTTGTGCGGCGAGTGAGTACAAATATAGTCCAATTAAGTCCATTTTCAATAGGGTTCGTTCCTGAGCTAAAACCCATCGGTATATCGTATTTCGTCAAAATATCACAAAGCTGGTATCCTATAGGTTGGGCACGAGAATACATAGATAGGCATCGGGGCAGCAAATATGCTTAATTCATTCATAATTTCTCCAAGATTGACTTCCTGCACCATAAGTGTAGCATAAATGAGAATTAATTTTTCTTAGATATTAGTCGGCCCCCAAAAAATATCTTAGACGCGGCAGGATTTCAATCAAAAAAACATGAAAATTGGGGCCAGTGGAAAATCTCGGCGATCACGGCTTCGAATCTCAGAGCTGGAGATTGTACCTTATAAGTAACTATATAGTCACAAAGATTCTTTATGTTCACCTTTAATCCTTTACACAGATTTATGATCACCTTTAATCCTTTACACAGATTTATGTTCACCTTGGATACTTTCACGCCTATAATTTTGCAAACTTTTCACTTTACCTTTGCTACCTGCCTGTCCGATTGATATTCTTTCACATATAATGTCGTAATTTTAAAGCTTGGACTTAAGTTCACTTCAAGTATTCTAAGTAAAAATGTATCTGCTCAGAATTCAAGTCAAGTTTGCTTAATGATTTTTCTCTGCAGTTGTGCAATTTAAGCCCTTTAGCCTTAAGAGTGTTGCTTAATGTGAGTGTATGTGTAGTTGCAGCCAGAGATGAATAAATAATGTGATAATGATTACATTTCTTGTTTAAAGAAAAGGTTCAAAGTCCTCCAAAGAAATGCTTTGCTTGACAATGATTTTTTTTTTATCATCGCATCGCAATGGCAGGATGAAAGTGAATTAATTAGACAGTTCAGTAGCGTGACTCCATCCGTGTCTCTACAGTGATTGATATAAAACGATCTTAGCCAATTGCCTTGCAAATCGGTTACAACTCTTGCATCTCTTTTAAGAAGTAATATCATGGCATTCCCTATCTTTCCCTATCTACTGCAGGTGAAAAGATGAACTAAGAAAAACTAAGTAAGAAAACAGATGTATTGTGAAATCTCACCTAAGGCTTGCACGAAGGCATAATGTAATATATCAAGCCATTGGCTAAACGGAGCGTATCAAGGCATTCTGCAGCGCTTGTGAAAGGTGAAAAATTATAAAATTAAAAAAAAAAAACAATGTCGTGATGTTTTGAAAATGCGCTTAAATGCATTAAATTTTGCAATATTAGTTCGACTCTTAGTTTAAAACTAAACTTGAAAAAAACTAATTAAACTAAAGTTAAACATAGCGATTCGCGGTGTTTATGATAAGAAGGCTAAAATTCATTCTAAAGATGGAAAGTAGATTTTAAAAGAGATCTTTTTAAATTGACTTAGTTCACCTTTTCGCCCCGAAAGTGCAGAAGTTGCAGAAGGTTCTTACTAGAAAAATGGGAAAAATTTATCGATCAAAAAGGCATATGTTTAGTTAAACATCTTCGCTGCCACAGTCGCCTGGGAAACACATCCAACAAAAAAGCCAATAGGCGTTATGGGTTACAATAATTACATGGGCGGTGTAAATTTTGCTGATCAATATCTTTCTTTATTACCCCGTTTAAAATAAAAACAAGTAAGAACATTATAGCCGGTCAACGCCGACCTTAACATACCCTGCGCCACTTCGTCTAGTACAGTTATTCGCTTGTTTTGGTAATAGTAGTAATCAAAAAGCTCCATAGAAGCTCGCATATTGAAAGGTTAGAGTTTCTCCCCTTTTAAGAGTTTCGTGGCAGCGCCTATGTAAGATGTGATCCAAAGAAAAATAGACCTAAGTGATCCAAATATCCTATTGTTGATTTTTTTTGTTGCAACGCTCCTATGACTTGTTAAGACGTCTTGAGATATCTTATAGGAAGTGGGGGAAGAACTAGGCTCGTATAGTTCAAATTAGGTCCACTTAATTTTTTTATCTAATTACTATCATAACAAAAATTTCATCACAAAATATTAATGGTTTTTTTTTAGCATTGAATATTCGATCTTTTTACCAAATAAAGCTTTAGTTTCCACAGGAACGATTACACGAGAGGGGATTTAACAAATTGCCCCAGCCGGTCCAAAATTTTCACATCAATATAGAATGCCGCAATACTACTACTTAGTCCCTTTTACCGAGATATTTTGAAAATTGTAATTTTTTTCATGGGAAAGGTTGACCGATCCGAACAATTTCCTTGGGTCAAAACATGTCACTGTACTATGTTTCATGAAAATCTCTCAAGAATTGCGACCTACAGGCTGAACACAAATTTTTATGGGCAGACGCACAGACAAGCTTAGATCAATTGAGACTATGATTCTGACTCGATCGGTATAATAAAAGGTGGGCCCTTCTACGTGTTACATACGTCAGCGATAACTTAATATACCTTGTACCCCAAGTAGTGTAGGATAATTAAGAAAGTTACAAAGTCACTATTTGCTTATAATAAATATTAAATCCTGGCAAACATTTACAATGTTGTAATGCCTTGTACGCACTTGCCGGGTCATGGCTGACGCGTAGAAACTTCTAATCTAACGAAATTGTAGGGGCAGGATTAAGGCGATGTTAACTTTTGTTGTGATAGAGAAAAGATTTTTTATTCAAGCAGAGTATGCTGTTTTTGATTATTTTGAATTTCCCCCCGTACCAGAGGAACTTTTCTTACACGTATTAGTGTTGATTATGCATCGAATGATTTCTCTTAATGCCCATGACAAATATGATTGAAACGCTACGAACTTTTTTCTTCAACATTATTCTAACATTTATGTTCTAAGAACTTTTCAATCAAGAACTTGTCATGTCTTTTTACATATAGACATTTCTTCTTCTCTCCCTCCACAACTTAACTATACACATGACTGATGTGGAAGCATATGGTATGATTCTCAAATATTTTTACTAAAAATCAATTGTTTTGTTGTTATGTCTCTTATTGATATAGGACTATATAAGCTATATTCCCTCTCGATTGCAAACGCACGCGTTTCACTACAATTCCACATGGATGTGTGCAAGAGAAAAAATAAAAATAAAATAACAAAAATGAGGACACAGCACAATTTTTTTTTTTTTTTTTCAATTTGTAAACAAACAAATTATTTGGTAATATGGCGGGAGAAAGATGTTACATATGAAGTAAAAAAAAAAACAGAGAGAGAAAATGCGGAACAAGTTAAACAGACAGAAAGCAAAGTAACAAATTAAAAGAAAGAAATAAATGAAGAGAGAAATATTAAAATAAACAAAAAGAATGTGAAGGGGAATTAACGCCAAGTCAACAAAAAAAAAGTGCTAAGTAATGAAATTCATTGAAAGTGCAATTGAATTGCCGAAAAGTGGGGAGAAACGAAAAAAAAATATGTATATTAGAGGAACACCCCAAATTTTACTTTCCTTATATCTTTTATCTATAAGATGGAAGGAGTGCACCATTGAAATTCTTAATATAATACGAATTTTCTTAGTATACTTGAAAATATTATTGATTTCGTTTAAAAAAAAAAAAAAAAAAAGGAAAAATTTCAAGAGCATACACACATATTTTAACACGCTTTGCTTAAAGGCACAAAATTGTATTGAACAAAAAAGCGCCAAATCGTTGAAAACCCACAAAAAAAATCCGAAAATGTTACAAAGCAGTTTTGCCGAAAATGGATAAAACGCAAATTTTATACTAACTAAAAGGTTTTCCTTGGAGCACTCAAGTGTAAAACTGGATTTCCCCTAGCACTAAATATTCTTCTTTATTATTATAAATAACTTATCTCCTCCTTTTAGATACTTTCCCATTTTTCTTTTCAAAAGTTATGCGAAACAACTTAAAAGATCTGCAATTATTGATTTTTGTTTGCAAATTTTTACATATCTCTTATACTCACACAAACACAATTAACATTTATATTTATATAGTAAATAGAACAATGAAACAAGTTTTCTTTTAAAATTTTAACAAAATTTCACTTCATTTGAATAGTTTTGTTCTCGTTCTATTCTCTTAATAACGTATCAGTTTCATTTTTATTTTGCACATTTTTCCGTAATATTCAAGTTAAAACCCGCAATGCAATTGCAGCCACTTATAACCAATACTTTAAGAATAAATAAGAAATGGAAAAAAAACTCCTCCACTGCGTTCTAATTTATGTTTTTTTTTTCAACTTACATATATCTTTCTCTTATGTCTGTTCATGTTTCCTATTGGAGGTTATTGTTATTTGTTATTGAATAGAGAGGAAACAAGAGAGAGAAAGATGTGAATAGAGTTGCCATCATCGAAAGAAATTGAACATAGTTTAAAGTTTGCAAATTCACGGTAAATCGTATTATTTTATGTGTAAGAGAACAGCTTTTCAGTATATTATCACTCTACATAAAAAAAATAAAAATTAAACATCGAAAGTTTCCTAAAAATAAAGATAAAAAAAATTCTTTTCTAATTTCTTATTGTTTTGCTGCACATATTAACGTGCCACGAAGAATAAATTTTACAGGCAACATTTGTAAAAATTTTAAATCGGATATTAGGGTAAAAAATTTAATGACGATTTTTAAAATTTCAAAACATTAAATCAGGGAACTGGATAACCAGCTGACTGGTGTTCAGAATTTCAGAAGCTGTGACGCAGCCAAAACTTTGATGATGTGTAATTAATTTTTAAAAATAAATATTTGTGATCAGGATTAGGCTCTAATCGATAACCCTTTGTCTACAGTCTCAAAAGAATGTAAGTTGTAAAATGTATGGAACTTATTTTCCTGAAAGCGAAATGTAATTTAGTTTAACAGAAAACTATCAAGTTATTGAATATCTATTGCAGTCTTAAGATTTTTATTGCTGGCGAATGTGAAACTTTTTTCCTTTGATTGTTATGAGCACTCGGAATAGAGGAGATACTCCGAGCGAGTAAAGAATAAACAGAGATTCTTATGTACATATTTGATAAGTTGTAAGAAAATTACAATATTGTAGGAAATCTCTCACAAAATTCGTTAGCGAATGCTATAAAAAGCTCCAAATTCTATTCACTATTTAATTGAGTTAACTGCGATATTGACCAATGGTCAAAGTTTGGCAAATTCGTAATTTTCAGAACCTGGCACTATTTTCTGCCACGGATTCCTTTTCTTGCCTTAACATGCTGGGCTACCCGTCTGACTGGCACAATGAATGAAAGCTACACTCATCAATAAATACAGAATTTCATAAGTGATATTGCCTAAAGCAATAGAATTATTCCGGCTTAAGCCATTTGTATTAACATTTTTAATTTTATGGCATTTTAAACTTTTAAATCAATCGAGAAAGCCCAGAGTGTACACAATTTGCATTGAACATACCCTTTTCTTAATAGACAATTTTTTTTCTTTTCTTTCTTTAAAACACACACTGCTGGTATGTTGCAAGTTTTTTATTTATTCACGCAATTTTTAAGCAAGTTTTTCATTACTCTTCCTATTTTCCGTACATTCAACGACACTTTAATAACAGTTTTTTAGAAAATTTACCAATTTTTCTTCAGCAAATTTAATAATTTTCTTAAGGATTTCATGCAAAAGCCGAGGAAACGAATAAGAACTGAAAAGAAAATCTACGAGATTTCTTCATATCTATTCTTCTTCTTCTTTTATTGTCTCTTTATTTTTATATGTAATTATCGTAAATACGACGTTTATTATCCGGTATGAGTTTGATTCTCTGCTATTTGCAGAACGAACTCTATGCTAATTTGCAAACCCATCGGCAAATTTTCTGCTATTTGCAGGATTGCGTTGTGAAGGTTATTGACTTTCGTTTTTGTTAAAGACGATGCCATTTAGAGATGAGATGAGTAATGAATCCTTCGTGAATTATTTTAAATAATAATCAAAACATATCAATTAACATGACATTTGTAAAAATAAAACATGGAGAAATTTCAAAAAGTTATTTTATTTTTCATGAGAATGCGGAAACAAAAATATAATTAGAAGAAAATGATACTCAGTTTATTTCTTGAAAAAGAATCATAAATTATAGCAGCAAAGTAATTTAAGGAGGCTAACTTCGGCTTGGGAGGAGACTTGCTCTTGCTTTATATATAAATATAAATAGTTAATCAATATTCACGATAATTTCTTCTTTATAACTAACACTTGTGATATAAAGTTACATTAAGTTTATGCGGGTATTTGCAATATTCACAAGACTCTTCTGTTGGTATACCACTTGTTTTGAATGGCTTTCCGTATCGATCTAAGCTTATCTGCCCGTCGGTCCGTCTGTACGGTATGTCGGTTTGTGCGCCTAACGTCAGTCTAGGTAAATTTTTGTTTAATTCACATGTCGCAATTTTCGAAACGTTTTGGTCCAAGGGCGAAGACTATTGAAAATGGCTAGGATCGGATCACCTTTTCGGGCATTCCCTTTATAAACACTCATTTTAAAAAGTTGTTATATAAATAACTAGATTGAACAAAGTAAACAGTGGCCTTCGATAGCGGCTTCTTCTTCTTCTATTCAGCGAATCAATGACGGAAAATTAGTTGATATGTGTAAAAAAATCCCTTTATAGCGTTTTCACGTGCTTTGAACTGTCGGCCAATTCCGACAACGAATCATAACGAGTTTATTGCCTTCGCCTTAGAATAGATCCGTAAGGCAAATGGAAGACAAAAAATATTGGTGTTATGAAATATATGCACACTACATTAAATTTTAAAATGTTTTTTAATGCTTTTATTGAAGAATTCATTAAGTGTCGATATAATATGTATTTTCATACAATGATGCGTTCAATTTGTTTATTTGATGCGTTTTACTATAATTTTCTTTCAATGTTACTTAAATATTGTAAATATCGGCATATATTGAAATGTATTTGATAGTTTATTAATACTAAAAAAAAAAAAAAAAGTTATGTGATTTCGAGTTTATGTGAATTATTTGCATAATTATTATTATTTTTTATTTTTCCTTCTATAATTGTTGCGTTTACTTAAAAGTAATTTCTTATAAAAAATTCTTTTTTATATAAATTAAAACAAATATCATAATACTTTTGCGTTTCTCTTTAACGGAACATAAAAACTTATCCTTAAATAATTTGTATAAAAAGTCTTTTAAAAACAAGGTAAATTTGAAGAAAAAGTTTAATAATAAAATCTAAATTAATTAATTCCAAAAAACAAGATATTATCAAAAGAAAATGTTTAAAATGTATAAATTTGTTTGAAGAAAATTTGTCTTCAGCTTTGCTTAATATAAACAGATGCATCTCTTAGCCTTTAGAATGTTTTCCTTTGTTTCATAAGGAGCAGCAAGCTTTTCTAATTTAAAAAAAAAATTTTGATTTTTAACGATAGAATTTAACTTCGGCTTCGACACAATCCTTCATCAATTCATCGAGCTCTTCATTGACTTCAGGGTGTTCTGCCAAATAGGCAGAAACCTCTTCCACGCAAGCTGTCTCTAAAGCTTTCAAATGCTTTAACGAGGCTGCCTTACGCTGTGAGTGTAACTTATGCAACAATGTCATCTCGTTGTCAGCTAAAGCTTTGGTCAAAGGCGATATTTTTGGTTTCGTGGCGAATAAGAATGGCTTAAACACTGATTCGCTTGTATCGGGCGTTCCGGTAAACCAATGACAAGAAATTAAATCACTACATAAAACAAATACAGTTGCCGAACGCGAAGTGGTAGCCTGTGCTGCCGTACGTAAAGTTTCAAACATGCTAGCCAACGCGTAAGAACCATCGCCAACAGGTTCTGGACCACTCCACTCCTCAGTAGAATCAGGAGAGCTATTAAAACAGCTCGCAAAATCTATTTCTCCCTGGAATGCAAACAAAATGAATTTGTTGAGTTATTTAAAATAAAGCTGAATATTTTACTTCTCCATCCCAGCATCCCATGGCTTTTAAGGCTTCTTGCAAATCTTCGGAAGATTTTTCGATGGTTGTGGTTACGGCCAAACCATTTCTAGGCACATGATGATAGCCTTCCGATAAACTTTGTGCAGCCCATAGTTTGCCTGCACAACTAACTAGCCAGACTTTTGTGGGATCACAGATAATTAAACTGAATTTTACATCTTCAACGCCGTGCTCTGTAATCAATTGTCCTACTCTCTCGAGGGCATTATCAGCCGTATCACAGCTAGCCAAGGTTATACGCACAATATCTAAGGCTGTTAGATTATTTGCAGAGCTATTAGTCCATGTAATAGCTACGCTAACATTATGTTCATTAGAGCCACAATCGCCTCCCCAAATACCATGGGGTTTTGGTTTTTGTAAAATAAATTCTAAAACTTGAAGCATCGCTTAATTCGAGAGTCTATATACAAAAACAAACCGAAAAAAAAAAACAAAAAGATGAAAATCATCATAGAAAGTAGCTAACTAAACCAAAAAAAAGTCTAAGAAAATGCAGGCAGCTTACTTTTCCCATTAATGACTCAGCAGCGTCATAGTAAACTATTTCTTGAGCCACACCCACCAGAGTCTCATCTTCAGAATTGCGTCCAAACACGACGGTATTGTTGGCACAATGGAGTGGTAAAACCACAAAGCAATTTCCACCAAAGCTCATTACAATTACAATAACTTTTTAAAAATCGAAATTGAAGGGAAAAACACTGCCAACGAATATGCAGAAAATTGATTTTTCCCTTATAAGCAATTAAAAGGTTCAATATTATTTAAATTTAAAATATTACAAAAATTTAAATATCGCTTTTGTAATATTTCTTTAATTTTTTTTTTTAACAGATTTAAGCTACTTTTTTGTAAAAAATGCTTTGTAATTTTTTTTTTAAATTATTCGATTTTATTTAACTAAACTTTATGTCAGACACGAAACACTTATTAAAAGCTTAACTATAATCAAAATAGTGTTGCAAAGTGCACATTTAATGTTGAAGTCTAGTTCGTGAAAGCAAGATTTATAAAACAACGAATTCGTGTCAAAGTAGGCATGAGAGTTTCTCAACAACAAACCTCTTTTGCTTAGCGAAATTTTATTACCCTCGTCCTTGTATTTCTTACTAACAAACTATGAACTATAAACAAGATATTTTATTAGCATTCATTAAAACCAGAGATGTTAGTACAAAGAGTTTCCAATCGGAAGAGCTGTTTTTTCTTTGAATATGTTTGATTGCTTTAAATTATTACGAAAACTGTGAAAAATTCCAAAATGAGATTTGCAGGAATCAAGAAAATTTAATAAAAAAACTTATTTGGATATTTAATAGAAAATATGAGGAGATATCCCGCAATCACTTATATTCATTTTAGATGATATAAAAGATGAAAAATTAACGTTTTTACTTAACAATAAATATATATTTATATTTTTCTAATAATAAATTTTAAAACTAATATAAACTATCTTAGTACAAAATTGCTGTTAAAATACCTCAAATGGAAAAGAAGCCATAGAATGTATTTATTAAACTTTTTCTATAACTAAATTTGTTTTGAACACATTGCTATCTTTATGTAAAGCTTCCAATATGCTAATCTCAAAAGTTTGATAAATCTCACGAAAATCCATAATATTAGTTGGTTCCGATTCTAACCAAAAACGATCAAATTCAAATAATAAGTAACAATAGAATTTATGAAAATGTTCTAATGAGCAAGCACGTTTCGCATTCTGAGCAACATTATAGAAATGGGCTTTGGCATCTCCGGACTTCAGAAAAAGATAAGCCATTGCCGTTAAATTAATTCCAACAATTGCAAACGTGTAACCTAAAGTAGGATGCCTAGAATGTAATAGAACATGCTGGGCAGCCTCTTTATATTCACGTGAAAAATACAACAGGTTTTCCAATCCTAATAAACCCATACCACGGAAATCTGTTTTGGGATCTTCACCCTTCGAATAGAAAATAAAATAATTATAATATGAATAATTAATAATATTTTTAATTACCTGAAAACCAATTTCTTGCCATTGTTTAGAAACTCTTTCTGTTAAAGGCTCATCCGGCATTAAATGTCTCCATAATTCCATTAGTTTTTCCTCATGTTCTATATTTTCTGCATTGTATTGTTCGGAACGTAAGCGTTCTACTTGATGCATTAAACGTTTATAGCTCCAAATTTGATAGACCGTTACCCCAAACAATGGAGCAAAATCTGGATGTATGCTTGGCTTGATACGCTTAACACGTTGCACAACGCTTACTGCTTTTAATGTTAAGCTTTTTAATTCGTCTTCACTGCAGTATTCAACAGCTTCATTCAATTCCCGTATCAATTGTTTAATATCAGGTTGGTTGGAGGATTCCAAAGACCATTCCACTTGTTTGGTTCGACGTGCTCCCGGCTGAGCTCCGTAACATATTCGTTGTAATTCACATAGGCGCGTAAAAGTATGCAAAAACCATTTCATAAATGGTCGCATATATTTGCAAATAAAAGGGAAAAGTTTTTCGAATATAATTCCAAATATAAAATTCATTTTATTTTCTCCATGAAATTTTCGGCCCTTATGTTTAATATTGTTTTTTTTTTATTTATATTTTGTTGTCATAGTAAGAAAGTTTCCTTTTAAAAATCCTTGAGCTTTTTAAGGTCACAAAAATTAGCTTGTTTCGTTCTAAATTCTTAATTCATTTATATCAATATTTTTTTGAATAAACATATATAACTGATACTTTATTAAATAAATTTTTACTAATATGGAATAGATTGGTTCAATATAAATAAAATTTCACAACTTTTTTATTGTAAATTGTTTAATAAAAATAAAATGAAAGCAAAACAGCCGTTTTCGAAATTAGTGTTGATAAGCGTCTTTAATTAAGATCGATTGCTTACAACTTGGAACTTAAAATAAAAAAAGGACTCAAATGATCTAGAATTTGAAAGAATTAGCCATAATTTGTCAAAATTCGTTGTTGTTTTGCTATGTTGCTATATAATTTTCTAAAAAATGATAATTCTTTACCCTATTTTCAAAAAAATGATAATTCTTCACCCTATTTTCTAAAAAATGATAATTCTTTACCCTATTTTCTAAAAAATGATAATTCTTTACCCTATTTTCTAAAAAATGATAATTCTTTCTAATTGCACGTCCTACATAAGTAGCTACAAGTTATTTCTATGTATTTAGCGAAAATAAAATTTTTTTACTTGTTCATATTATTTTATAATAAGGTGTAGGCGGTTAATCCTCACTGAAACGATTTGCAAATTATAAGCACTACGCAAGGATAATATCACATTCGAAATAAGCCAGCTGATACGCTTCGAATTAATCAATTAACCAATTCGCAATATCATTTCGACTTAGAGCAGAGATGCAAACGGGAAATTAAACGATAATCCTCTTGAATACCTTAAAACCGTAAAAAATAAACCGCTTTGAATGTGATCAATCAAACGATTGGCAATATCAATTTGACCTCGAACAACCTTCGTAATGACTTGACTGACGGACATATAACCTTCAAAATGACTGGAGTACCTGCTAAGGTGTACCCCGGCGACAATTATTATAGAAATCTTTCCGTATGGGAAAAATTACAAATCCCCACATATATATGCAGTGTGAAACTAAGAATCGTTGTTTCTTGATTTAATTTTTTTAAAAATAAGGGTATATTCTTAATTTAACTGGCAAGAAAATCATATTCGGCTGCGGCAGAATCTTTTATATCCTTCACGGTTATCCCATAAAAGATTACAAAAAAGGAAACATGTAAATTTGCATATTTCGTAATATTGGCTGGGCATGGCTGATTGTTTTTTTCTGTTTTCAGAAAACTGTTGTAATTTATGAGTAACGAATAAAGACCCAGGAAAGCTATTCTCAGTTTTGTTTGTGCAGACGCGTGGATGTAGGCGTGATGTTTGACCGTTTTAGGCCATTTTCAAACTCCTTTGCAAATTTGTAGGTGGTAGTTTCTCTTTTGCGAAAGGCAGAAAGCCTACCGCAGATATTCAGATGGACGGACTAACAGAAGGCCAAATGGGCAGACGAACAGACGGACATGTTTAGGTACATTCCTAATTAGAAAGAGCTTTGTCAAGAATTGTTGCACTTTATGCGGATATTGAGGCTTGGTTCTCCGTGTTAAATTCTGATATCCTATAATATTGGGTAGGCGTGGCCAATTTTTTAGCATCCCTCATAGAATATATGCTCAAATTTTTGTAGTTTTACTTGCTGTAGTCTATGAGTACCGAGTGGGAAACCAATTTTTTATTTCTGTTGAAAATGAGAGGTGTTCTCAATTTACGTAGCTCTATAGGCGTATCCTTGTACCGTTTTGGCCAAACGGCCGACCCAGAAAATGTTTTCCATAGACACTATATAGCCCGACAGATATACAGATAGACGGATGAGCATGATTAAATCGATTCAGAATTTGATGCTGCTTAAGAGTACATATATTTAAAGGGATTGCTGAAGCTTCGTAATTTAACCGAAAATCTCTTACGCTATTTTTGGAGAAGGCTAAACGTTTAAAGAAGACGAGACATCAGATAGAGAAGAGAAAAAAATTGATTATATGTGCTCTTTTGCTCTACTAGAGCGTTAATAAAATAATACAGTAACGGTATTGATTTCATTGTTTATCAAGGGAAGGGAGAAGGGCTTATATTTTTTTATATAGTTGCTTTGAAGGGCATGTTATTTTCGCTCAAATTATTTTTTATATGAAAATCCAAATATAAGTTCGTGATGGCTCCAAATTATAATAATGCGTTGCTGGTAATGATAATTTTAAAATTATAGCAAAATGCATTGCTCTTTACTCCTTGCATAGCCAAGTAAGATTATTATTGTTTGCGTAAGAGAGCTTTTATTAAGATCTTCGAAACGGTACAGGGTGTTCAAAAATAAAATGTTAGATATTTAATGCTATACGTAAGTATTAAATATTGATCGAAGGGCTAATTTAATTTAATGCGCGATGGCATATATATGCTTTCCAAACTTAGATTATATTTCAAGAAATGTCTAACTAAAAGCATGAATAGTTAGTTTTAAACGTGTAGGTTAGAATAGGATAGACGATGGAAGTTACATAACCTAACCTTTCTATTTTTTGACAATTTTCTTAATGTGCCTAAAATCAATAATAACTTTGTCCAGAAATTGTTTCCTTTTTCTTTCATTAGAAAACAGAAGATTGACAGATCACTTGGCGGTGTGAACTGAACCCATAGAAGCCTGGTCAAAACGTACACACCCTATCAATAAGTGAACACAAGTCTGTGTAATTCTACAAGTAAATAGTTGCTATACAAACTGTCCTGATTGACCATATTCTACCACGACCACCGACTTGTCAGTCCCGCGAGCTTATCTCTGAGGTAGCTCAACCATTCGTTGGATATTGGTGACCAAATAATTAGGAAAAGATGTGATAATGATTTCACACGCAATTAAAACTATCATCAGATAAATAAAATTTGTTTTCATGAGCACAGGAATGGATGATTTTCTGTGCAAATCCATAAAAACTCTTCGACTATACAAGGTCCAAGGAACGTACATCGATCCGATCCTTAATCGTTTAGAAAGGAATACCGAACAATCTATTTTAAGAAAGTAAAATCTTTATTTGTCCTAAGCTGAGAAGCTTGAAAAGACAAAAAAGCCTTATCACTTTACTTGGTTTTCATTGACCTAGCTACTCACTCAAAGGATGATGCATATAGGTGCAGTGATGCGGTACAGTAATGAAGGTTTTAGAAAGGTCATAGGTAAGGAAGGACAGAAATAGTATAATCTAGAGCGAAAGCTCTCTTGTACATGGTTTGACTTGCATGAGCATTCTTTTTCTTAACGTAGAACTCATACATGGCCTAGCCTTGTCCTATCCCTTGATATAGTAAGTGCTTTAGTAAAAACATCTATGCGGATACGGTACAAACAGCAATATATTGTCAAGTTAAGAATGCGGCCTACGGTTGATAGAGAAATGATAAACTTTTTGATATATCTTTTTTAAAGCTACACCAAAGTGGAACATTACTAGTTATTGCAAAGCATCATGACATTCGGTTAAGTAGCGCATGGGCTTTCCACTCAGCAATCTTTGCATGAATTGCCCAGGCTTGCATGACTTCAGTTCACCCCGCCAAATGCTGCGTCAATCTTCTGTTCCCTAATGAAAGAAAAAAAAAAACAAAATCTGGACCAAGGTATTGATTTTGAGCACATTAAGAAAATGATCAAGAATTCGAAAAGTTAGGTTATGTAATGTCCATCATTACATAGGCGTTTAAAATAAACTACATAGGCATTTTGAAAGACGTTTGTTGAAATTTAGTCTAACTTTGGAAAAATTATGATCAAAAATGAAGACCGTTACATATATTCCAGTTATTTTTGGGTTCATTTGGTGGCATCAAATCTCGATGGATGCCAAGGACAGTAAATTTCTGAATTGGTTCTTCGAGACAATTTTATGAAAAATTCAACCTACGTTGTGCTCTAATGGCCGTATTGACCTAATTTAGCCCCAACTGACTTCTGGCTATTTCGTAAACTCAAAAGACCCACGCCGGGAGACAATATTTCGATTCGATTGAAGAGACACAAGGTGAATTGCACAGAGCTTGGAAAGCCACGCCGGAAATCGACTATAACAACTGTTTCGAGGATATGAAAAATCACTTGGGTAACTCCATAGATATGAAGTGTATAGATATCGGTTTGTTGACGCTTTCTTAACATTTGACTATTTTTAAGTTCGTATTAAAAAGCAAGGAAGTTTCTTCAAATTCTCTCGAGAATGGAACGGATCGCAGGAAACTGGAAGCTTTTTACAACCATAATAATCGCTTTAAGCGGATCTTAAATGCTTATGTGTATGCGATCTTAGTAAATTTTCTTGACATACCCTGTATTTATGAATAAATTCACTGTTGTTGTTGTTGTTGTGGCAGCAGCTTTTCGTATTATCCGAAAGCGCAAATAAAAGTAAAATATTGTTCAGAATAATTCATACCTTATCAACTAGCGCTTGAGTTTATTAAGAACTAGAGATTGAAAAAAAAAAAAATAAAATAAAATAAAAAAGAAATATAATAATGAATAACGATAAAATTGGAAAACTTTCATTCCATGGTAATTAAATGTTGCATTAAATATATACTTAAAAAAAATAATTCTTTTTTTTATGTGCTAAGCTTTATTGGGTGAAATTGAGATCAGATCTTTAACTGAAGATAAATTAGAGGCATCCTTAGATGTAAGTAATAAGTGTTGTGCAATACAATTTTTTTTCTTCTTTGCATTTATTCATTTATTTACATATATACCCTACACCACTTGTATGGTAAAAAGTTATATTAAAGTCGAGCGGATGTTAGCAATAGGACTTGAAATAGTTCGACTTTTTATTACGCTAATCTGTGCTGAATTATTTTATGAATCAATGTAAGCTCAACTGTCCATCCGTTTGTCCGTCCATTTGTCCGTTTTGTTTTCTTCTGCTCAACTTACAGGTAGCAGTTTTTGAGATATTTTGATGAAATCTGATAAGCTGAAGAACTAATCGAAGCTTGCCTGTCCACCAGTGTAGCTGTCGATCTTGTCGTCTTTTGTTCACCCTATATGTCACAGTGTTTTAGACACTTTGACGAGATTTGGTAAGCCGACGTGTTTCAGCCAAACGACGGGCACTATTGAAAATGGTTCGAATCGGTTCACTTCTTCCCCCATTTCCCATATAACGCCTTACTACGAAAAGTCTTTATGCGAATAATCGTAGGACAGAGCAGGGCATTTAATGGTGGGCCGCGCTCATTATAGATCTTTAGCTTGTCTTTTTATAAAATACCTAAATTTAACTTATTTTTTTATTTATATATATGTTCGGGAAGAAATTTAAACTCGCGTAAAATCTTACATACTAATATTTGGTTTCGATACAACAACGTACATGGTTGCCTTAGTTTATTAGCCTGTGGGGACGTACGTAACGAACACCAGATTTAAGATAAACCCACCTTTTAAGTTTGTCTGTCTGCCTTGTTTTCTTTTGTTCAACCTGCAGGTAGCAATTTCCGAAATATATTTGCCCCCATAACAAACGTTTTGTTTTCTTAATATTTTCTAGGTCTTAAATAATTCATTTTTTCTTATGGAATCGGTATCGATAGCTACTGAAATTAATTTACCCCAAAATGTGAATGCACGTAAGGAATTAAGAGAATTATGTCGCTTAACTGCCCAGGACGGTGTTTCTTTGGTAGCTATAGAAAAGTGTACCGATACTCTCGTAGGCGTGAGCTTTAATAAAATTCAGGTAAATATTTTCGAAGCACGTTTGATCTTTCATTTTTATGATAACTTTTACTTTCTCTTCCACTCTCTTTAATTTTTTCAGTTTTCCTCTACTGAGAGTGAAGAGGAGCCATTTTTTGTAAAGTTTCGAAATAAGTCAACGCATACATCTCAGGCTCAAGCTTTAATGGATTTTATGATTACGGTTGACTCGGAGCAGGATGTCTTTAAGAAATTCGATTTGACCAGTGTTTGCGAATTGATGTTTTTGGCTATTTTACCCACTTGGCAGAAGCGTGGTATTGGTCGCGCTTTAACAGCCGCAGCTATCGAATTAACTCGACATCTTTCTAAAGGCAATGAAGATATAAAATCTATAGAGAATTTTCCTAAACCTCAGGCAGTCACCGCTCTATTCACTTCGAGATATTCGCAAAGAATTGGTCAATCTCTCGGTTTTCGTTTGCTTAATACCGTACCTTATACAAAATTTCATTTTAACGGTAAAGCATTTAATGAACGAATTGATTCCATGCATGATTGCTGTCAACATGTGATTTATTTTGTATAAGAAAACAATTTGCTTTCATCTATATATGTTTGCGTATGTGTGTGTATGTGTGTGCGTGGCAGCAAAATATTAATAAAAATGCAAATCTGTTTGATTTCAGTTAAGAGAAATTAAAAAAAATAAACAAATACATTATAGTCGGGCAAAGCCGACCGTCAGATATCCTACAACACTTCAGTTAGTAAATTTATTTATCCGTTTCGATAATACATTGAACATTACATATTATTTTCATGCAAAAGCATAATTTTCACGAAAGTCTACATGCTGGAGGCTTCTTAAAACATCACATGACATGATTCAAATTTAGCAAACTTTATTTGCTTCCAAAAATGTTATTATTTTTCAGTTTACGTCATAGGAAATTAGAAAGTGCATTCCCCTCCGTATAAGGGCTTGCTTCTCGCGATAGCTTCTATAGATATTGGGCTCCAAAAAATAGACCTGCACGATCCAAATGCCCTGTTGTCCATTTCTTTGGTAAATTGTTAAAAAAATATTAAAAATTAAACCTCTTTTTCAAATGTTTACTGTTCATGAGAAATCTTGAACGGAGTCGGATTCAAGAAATCGACCCATGCACTTCAATTCACTATAGTTAAAAATTTTTCATCAAGAAACAGTAACAATAAGGACTTTATAGCGTGTAAGGATTCACACTTCCTAAAAATCGTTATACGCTGTGGAACCTAAAAAATAGATGTATATAGTCCCATTTCGGTAAGGTTGATCTCTTTATCAATTGTGAAACAATTTTCACCATGAAATATTGAAAATGTTACCTTCTCGGAGAAACGGTTGCATGAGATGAGGTTCAAAAACTCTGCTCAACCGAATAAATTTTTCATACCAAATTAGATTATTGAAGTATTGATACACAGTGAGTTCTGTTGATAAATGTTGAAAATTGGCTATTTTTGGTTAAAAAGGTGAATCGATCCGAACCATTTTCAATAGCGTTAAACTTAGTTAAACTTAGCTCAGAATTAATTCTGAATCGATCGTTGCAATGAAAGATGGATTTACCTGAAGCCTTTCTGGTTGTTACGTACGCTCGCACAAACTTAATATGCCACAAGTGATGTAGAGTAAGAAAAATCAAGATAACGCGGACCTTATGTCGAAACCAAGTCTTAAAGTATAAGATTTTACGGTAACTTCGATTTCGTTATTCACCCAATGTCTTTTCGTAAATAGGGCGTGGTATGGAAAGTGGCGGATAAAGCACACCGATCTGAACCATTTCCAATAGCGCTCGTCATTGGACTAAAACATGTCGGGGTGTCAAAATTTCATCAAAATATTAAAAAAAAAACCATGAGCTATAGGTTGAATATAAGCGTACAAGCCGCGCAGGCGGACGGACGGACAGAAAGGCCTCAGAAAGTGATTCGGAATCTCAAGTCGTTCTCATCATCCACTCGCATTTTTACATTCCAGATTCCAGGAAATGTTTGTAATAGGCGATACGTATACCCATACATATATATATATAAATAGTTGGGTAGATGAATTAGGACTTTTTAAGAATTAGTGAACGTGTAGTTGTTGCTACTTAAGGTAGCACACCTTCATCTTCTGGCAGGTTCGTAAAATAACTTCTTCATTATGCTCTACGCTAGTTGCGGTACAAGGGTGTATAAAGTTTATGCGAATTTATGTAACACACAGAAGGAATTGAGACAGACTTAGCTATTATTCTGGCGATGGGTACACAATCATTTCTTGACGTTAGCCTGTCTGTCCATCTGTCCGTCTGATCCCTATCCGTGCAAATTTGTGTTCAAGCCACAAGTGGAAATTTTTGGGATACATTGATGTGTTTTGTCCCATGGACGAACGCTATTGAAAATGGTTTAGATCGGTCCACTTTTTCAACCACTCCCCGTATAATGCCCAATTTGGAAATAGGCAAACAAATAGGAATTTTCAAGATTTTTCAACAAAACTCACCCTGTATTAATATTTGGACTAAATGGTAAATTGGTATGAAATTTTGGATCAACTGGGGTAGTTTTTTGTTAGTTTTTCCTACGAAAGCCGAACCTTTATATAGTAGAAAGATATAATTTATTTCCGAATCGATCTAAGCTTGTCTCTCCGTCAGCCTGCTTTGTTTTTTTTGTTCAACCTACATTAATCTTGTTTTGACCCAAAATAGTTCGGAGCGAACCAATTCCTTGACCGCTTCTCATAAAAGGCTTCATTTTGAAAATTGTATTTATGGATAAGGGAAGGATAATGTGGGGTATTTAATGTTGGGCCATGGCCAACATTAGTGTTCTTACGTTTTTTATTAACTAAGGCATGCAGGCGTACAGTCTTACTCATACGTGCATATGAGAATCGTAAGTGTCGTATAACAACGAGTCAGCATATGTTGGTTGATAAGAATGCGAACACACACTTTGATGTAAAGATTCAATGTAAACAAAAAATTTTATGAAAAAAATTGTAAACGAATTGAAAAATTCCCAGACCTCAAATATTACGGTAAAAATTATAAATTGAAATAATTATTTTATTTTCAGCAATATTTCGCTATTCTTCAACCTATGGATACCATCCGCAAAATAGTTTTCTAAAGGCTAATCCACTTCTTTCACTAAACCAATGCTAGAGTATTACTTTTACAAATTGTTTCCTTTGCCATATGGTGAAGTTATTGCCCATTTATGATTCATTCGAATCAGAGGACTTAAATAATATTATTCTGTTAGCATTTAAAGAGAATCCTTTGGATGTCGCTTAATTGATTTCGATTACAAGCATAGACGAACTTTCTTTATCCGAAATATGTTTAATTGTTAGCTTGAAGGCTTTAACAGTTTCACTTAGTGTTACCTTATCATATATGTACACGTAACTAATAAGGATGGATTAGACTGTGGCTACTATCTTTAACAAAAAAAACACAAAAATTAAATTTCCATACTTTTTATAATTGAGTAGGCGTGACGGTTTTTTCATTTTGCTGCAGGTATAGCGAGTCTGAAGTTTTCTTTAAAATATTGGAAACGTTTTCGAATTGCTGCTCGATTGTGCATTTGCAGAAGAGAAGGGATCAATATCATTTGAAGTCTTCTTTTCTTTCTTTTTTCTTTTCAAGTAATTTAATCTTTATATAATTTCTGTCCTTTTTTATCTTAATTCGATAATCCTATGACGCCATTTTTGTTCGTATTAATGAATTCATAGTCGCCTTGTTTTGCAATCTCATAAAGTGGAAAACTTTTATGTAATTCATTTTCTTTAGTACATGTGACGTTCCACGAACTTTTCAAGTAGTCTAAAAAGTAGATAAAATAACTTCACCTACACCTTAAGACGAATTTTTGGTGCCCATCACTCTATTAGACTTAGAGTAGAGAAAACCATGTGCCAAGGCTTTCGTATTACGATCGTGTTCAAGAAAACGTTCATTTTCTTTACTTCTTCTTTGGGGGAAAAATGAGTACTTCTTCCTTAAATCAAAGTTCCATCAAAAAAAACTTGTTTCTTTCTCAAGGCAATTTTCAAATTGAAAACGTCTTCGGGGGCAACATTTTGATAAGTGATAGGAAGAATTTTTTATTACCCAATCTGTATATTTTACCAGGACTAAACTATTCTATTGCGTAGACAGATATCAGTACGATGATCTGCATAGACCATGCAGATAGACATCTTATACGGTCCGCAAAGTACAAGTTTTAAACATTACGGGCGAATCACACCCACCACCACCACACAATTTCAGCTGTAGGTCCTTCAATTATCGCAAGGACGCGTGAACTTAACAAAACTTTGGATGAATTGACGATCAGATTTATGACTGAATAGGCGCATAAAGACGATTAGTCTGAAGCTTCCCTGCAATAGACGGACGGACGAACGTCTACATGAAAGTGATTAAATCGAACCAAAAAGCCTGTGATCTTCATTAATAATCCTCCGTCCTTCGTCGACCATTATATGCAATTGTTACGAACGGAACGACGGACTCAATATACATTTTTTTAATTGTACTTACAAAAATAGATAAGACGCGACAAGTGCAAGCAAACACAAAAGTTAATTTCATATTTTCGTCCTGTTGCAGTAAGATGTAAAATCAGTCGCTTTCGCTATCATTATTAGCACTGATCGGGAGAACTTTTTTTTGGAAAATTATTTCATTAAAATGTCCGAACGTTGTTTAAAGCTGATTTGTAACGGTATTTATTTACATTACAAAAACAAAAATAAAAAAAAAGGAAATTATTTCTTTCCTTGCTTTCAATTGCAGGAGAGTTCGAAATTGTTAAGATAACAGAGGATTTATATGATGCGGCCGTGGAGGTAATTAATGTTTTACTCGCTCATGATTGTATTTATAAAAATTAAACGTTTATTGCTCAATTTTCTTAAAGTCAGTGCCCTTTGCTTACACTTACGTATGCACTTCATACTATGGTCTACGAACGTTTTCAAAATTAACGTAAAGCTAAAAATGTCTTATCTCCAAAGTAAATAATATGCCGTAAAACTTGACATCATACATAGCTTTAAACAAAGGTGAAAAACGGTATAATATTTTTAGTCAATAGGAAAACATTGGGTCATTGCTGCTGTCGTTGCGATGTTTTCTTTTATTATTTTTTATACCCACCTTATGTTACTTGTGATATAGGGCTCTATTAAGTTTGTGTGGGTGTCTGCAATACCCAGAACGATTTGAGATAAACTAATCTTTTATTATACCGATCGTGCTTATGCTGAAATGCTTGTCTGTCTGCCTGTCCATCAGTCTATGTGTCCATGTATTCGTGCTTTCAGACGGACACACGGACAGATAGGCTTACATCGATTTAGAAAAAGATTCTGAAACGATCGGTATAATAAAAGTTGGGTCAGTCTTAAGCCCTGCCGGATGTTACATACGTCCGTATTAACTTAATATACCTTGTACCACAAGTTATATAGGGTATCACAAACATTTTAAATAGATTTCCTGCTGTCAACATGGCTACGAGATTAACATTAATATGAATATAGTTTTTTATATTTATTCTTTTGGAAAATGGCCTTCGTGCTCACGGGTCCAAAATTAAAGCAAGGAATACGTTGTCTTTTAATATTATTTCTCGCGATTGAATTACATTTAAAACTTAGTATTATTAATGCTTTGATTTGAAAAGCATTTCCTTGTCTAATCTAGTTAAGGTAGATAAGGACATCTGATCAGGTGATAATGCTTTAGAATTTTCTGATTCTATTTTTAGTCTCACTTGTGTTTTTATTTTCTTTCTCTTACTTTCTTATTGAAGCTTTTTCAAAATTACTTTTCACAAAATGAAAACCTAGGCATAGCTCTTAATCTAACCGGTTGCCAAGATACACGAGCATTACAAGAAAACTTTGTAAGACTCCTGCTTAAGGACAATATATCTTTTGCTGCCCGACATATACCAAGTCAACAATTAGCTGCAATGTGTGTTAATAAAATCGAGGTAAAGTATTCGATCGTTTTTCGAAGCATTCATTTATATTCGTCTTCTTCTTGATTAGAATTCTTCCCATACTACGGAGACAGAACCTAATTCCGGTATACCAAAAATGGAAAAAATTGGTGAGATTATACATCATATGACGACATCGTACGATGTTTACAAGGAATGGCAAGTGAATTGCATTATCGAGTTGATTTTTCTTTCTACGCGAACCGAATTCAGTCGACGGGGCTTGGCATTGCATTTGACTGAGTTCATTTTAGATTATGGGCGAAAGTTGAAGGCAGAAGATTCAAAAGAAGCCTTAGAACTCCCAGCACATGTTAAGGGTCAGCGACCGGAAGTCATAACTTCAGTCTTTACATCGCGTTTTTCCCAACGAATTGGCGAAAAATTAGGTTTCGTTACTTTGTTTCGCGAAGAATACACAAAATTTTCGTTTGAGGGTGAAACCTTAGCAAAAAAAATTGATCCTCAGCATAAGTATATAATTTTTGTAGCGAAACGGTTATAAATTTTTAAATAAACATTATAATCAATAATTTTTAAATCGACTTTTACGCTGTTACGCAGTTAATTAGTCGCTTTGGATAACTTTTTATATCTCTCAGTTCTCACTCAGTCCCATTTCCATAATTTCCCCAACGTAAAGAATAACTATATATAGATGTCAGTCACGTTTTACTCAAATCGACAACAGAAATAAATATATCATACTATACGCTCATTCTCAAAGCGGCACAATACATGCATAACAAATGAGAACGAATATACGCTCATTCTCAAAGCCGCACAATACATGCATAACAAATGAATTTATTCAAAGACTATCGGCTATATTTTGCTATAGATTCGTTGAGTTTGTTGCCCAAATCGCCTTTAATTGCCAGTAAAAATTCTGCCATGCGATAAAAACACAAGCACATTGTCAATTTGTTCCCATGTTAGAAAAAAGTTGGGATATTTGGCTTCACAATTTTCTTTGGTGTCGCATGCGAAACAGACAATTTCATAATGTTTTCTCATATGCAATTAAAATATATATGTATGTATATTTATGTTGTATTTACATTGTTATACATGTACATTCATCACGTGAACCAGTAAACCAGAAAAAAAGGTGATGAAAAACTTCACAAATGGCTACAACAAATGATTTTTCACAATCTATTGAGGAAAAATTATTTTACACAGTGGAGAGGAACCGCATAAAAAAAATTTTCCTTAGGAAATGCACCTAAGCTTTACGAAATAAGGGGAGAGTGCTTTATAAGCAATGATTAAAACTAGAACTACCAACGTTTTGCATATACCCATTTCTACCAAAATCGACCATTTTGATCTCCTTCCTTTGCGGAATTGACACTGCCGTAAAAACCAAGGAAGGTTAGCTGAAAATCGATGCAAATATTTTTTGATCGATTAAGAATCCAATGGGGGAAAAATGGTTGCGATCCGCGCATCATGAAGGAGAAACTAACACAACTTTGAAAAAAAAAGGAAAGGTTTTGATACGTTCTTCTATAATGTGTGATCCTGTGATGCTCGGTTTACTGATACGTTCACAATTAATGATAAAATTGCGTTGGAATAAACTGGAATTAAAATTTTATTGAAAATGATGAATGTATTAATAAGCCGATCGGGACTATATTCGGAGTGAACACGAAGATGATCTTGTCGAACGGTCACAGGTTTCTCGAAATATCTTCATGAGATCGAAGGTTATACACAATAATATGAAAAAAACTTGGGCTCTTTTCCGTTTCCACCCTACTGCGAACTTGTAAATTAGCAGATCACTCCTCACTTTCAATGCCGACTTTTAATTGATCAAGGTATGGCTATGGCAAATTTCAAGTTTCTATTTTTGGGTTTTACGACTGCAGCAAGTTGTCAAAAGTTGGAGATCAAAATTATCCATTTTGGCAGAAAAAGGTATATATCCTCGGCATCTCGAAGATTGGATCATGTAGAGGTCGTTAAAGGCCTTTTCATTTAAATAAAAGTAGCCCAGATTTGTAAAACAATAAATGCCTAATAACCGGTTCTTTTTTGAAGAACGAAACTTAAAAAGGATCAAAATAACGTACTCGGTAGTTCCAGTGTTAAATTGCACATGGGAAACTTTTAAAAATAATAATTTTTCATTATAAAGGCGAAGATATTGTCAAAATGTATATAATTCGTCGGAGTCCGAACAGCACTTCTTCCTCTCTCTAACTCTCTCTCTCTCTCTCTATCACTGTTGCGCCGTGTAAAAAAGACGTTGCGCAAAACAAATCACATAAACAAATAAGTCGCATGAAACTAATCGCACAAATAAAGAGTGCATAAAAACCACAGCGTAAAAGAAGTTTTAACCGTATTGTTGTTCTTTACTTATTTATTTATTTATAGCCTTTATTTATTCTCATGATAAGTTAGGATATTATGAAATCCGCGGTTAGCACTTGTTTCTGTTTACTTGAAGCATTGGTTTAAGAGAGTTGTCTGATCTGCCTGCATTCCATTTATATTACGGACACAAATTAAGCGATGTCTCAAAAGAGCGTAGGCATGTAACTTTTAAAGTGAAACGCTTACACATTCATAAGTAACTCTTATCGTTAATAACTTTTACATCAGTTTCCACTCAATTAATCAATTTGAGTCACTTTTATTAGTACAAAAAAAGCCCGTTGACATTTTATCAAATTTAAACTTTGGTCAACACCGATAATTAGATGATTCATATCACTCTTTACTTTCTTCCAAAAGATCTTTGCCAAGACCTAAGCATACCTAAGAACTTCAATCCAGCTTTGAGCAAGGATCGTTTGCAGCTTAAAACGGATTATTCCCCTTCCATGGAGATCTCGAGTGTGTGTGGTTAGTTTTATTTATTTATTGAATATTTGGAATATGTAAAGAGAGACAAATTCAATTATTAAGAATCATCAATCAATACAAAAGGATGTTACTATAATGTCGGATCGTTCCCGATCTTTATCTAATGAGAAACACTCTCTTAAGTCCACTCAAGGCCATAAAATTTCTCAAAAGATTCTTGATTGAATATAAAGTTGTCTGCAGCTGTTAGAGGAGGCGTTACCAATTTCGCCGATAGTGCTCTTAAATGACGATAGCATTCTACTTTTTGGCACCGGATTATATTTTTGTCGACTTCTTTGACACACAAACCCATTGCCAAAGCAACGACGTTATCAAAAAGCTGCGCAACCGTTCCATGAGAAGTAATAACGTATAAACCATCTTTTGGAAATCTTTTCGTTTTATTCACGATGCGCATTTTTTGATAGTTTAATAAATTATAGATGGGTTCGTGAGCCAAGTTTAAAAAGGGTTCCTCTTCCCAGAATTGCACATTGTCAAGAAGATTTTCAAGGCGCGCGAGGTCAAGTATTTAATGATTTCGTGCTTGGTAGTCCACGAATTACCATAACCCATTTTTCCTATGTGAGTTAACGCTTGAGTCTATTCGATGATTATATTTTACATTTTTGATCGTAAGAGAATTACAATTTTTCTTAAAAAGACTCACTTAAAAGAGAATGATCGCGTAGCAATAGCTAAGACAATCGACAGCCGCGGTTACGAATATGCTCAGTTATGTGATGTAGTTTATACCTTCAGTAATGAGCGGAATGAACTAACTGATTAGTGAATTTTTCATGCATGAGAACTAACGTTATGCGAATGAAGAAATTAAAGACAAGCAAACCTGACTCTTTAAACGCCGTATACGATTGCGTATATTTTTTTCGGACAGCAAGAACTATGCCTCGCTTCAACGCAACAGCGCACTTTTCATGGAAATCCTTACATTTAGTTCTTTTCCCAAACCAATATATTTTTATTATAATATGCTGGAAATAAGGTCCAACTTTTTGATCCAAATGTTTCTTTCCATCGAAGTTGACCACTTTTGCCGAGAGTTTTTCTTCATATCCAGCCAGTTTTATGTAACGATTTCTTTCACAAAAGCCATCACATTAAGCTCACTTACTACAGGAAACAAGTCAATTTCAATATCGTAACAATGAAGAGTTGTATGGTCGAATTACATGAACAGACCTCAGACTGAAAAACAGACGGATAGACTGATAGACTGACTTGAAATCATTCAGTAAATGATTCTAACAATAGGCTCTGTCAGCTCGTTCTGAGCATTGCACAAGTGGCAATTTTTGACATACATTGATGTGCTTTGTCCCAAGGACGAACGCTATTGAAAATGGTTTAGATCGCTCCACTTTTTCAACCACTCCCCGTATAACGCCCAATTTGGAAAAGCTGTTATTGGCAAAAAAATAGGAATTTTCCAGATTTTTCAACAAAACTCACTTTATAATAACATTTGCACTAAACAGCAAATTGGTATGAATAATTTGGATCAACTGGGGCAGTTTTTTGACTCCTTTCGCATATAGTTTTTCCTACGAAAGCCGAATCTTTATGTAATAGAAAGATATAATTTATTTCCGAATCGATCTAAGCTTGTCTCTTCGTCAGTCTGCTTTGTTTTTTTTTTGTTCAACCTACATTAATCTTGTTTTGACCCAAAATAGTTTGGATCGAACCAAATTTTCGACCACTTCTCACAATAACCTTTATTCTGAAAATTGGATTTATGGATAACGGGGCGATGATGTGAGGTACTTAATGATAGGCCATGGCCAACGTTAGTGTTCGTACGTTTTTTATTAACTAAGGCATGCAGGCGTACAGTCTCACTCATACATGCTTATGGGAATCGTAAGTGTCATATAACAACGACTAGGCATATGTTTAGTTGATAATATAAACAAAAAATTTTATAAAAAAAATTGTAAGCGAATTGAAAAATTCGCAGACCTCATATATTACGGCAAAAATTATAAATTGAAATAATTCTCTTATTGTCAGCAATATTTCGCTATTCTTCAACTTATGTTTATCATCCGCGAAGTAGTTTTCTAAAGGCTAATCCACTCCTTTCACTAAACCAATGCTAGAGAATTATTTTTACAAATTGTTTCCTTTGCCATAAGGTGAAATCATTGCCCATTTATGATTCAGTCGAATCAAAGGGCTTAAATAATATTATTCTGTTAGTATTTAAAGAGAATCCTTTGGATGTCACTTAATTGCTTTCGACCACAAGGATAAGAGAACTTTCTTTATCCGAAATATGCGTAATTGTTAGCTTGAAGGCCTTAACAATTTCAATTGGTGTTACCTTATCGAACCGAATACGTACACATATCTAGTAAGGATCGATTAGACTGTGGCTGCTATCTTAAACAAAAAAAAAAACCCAAAAATTAAATTTCCATACTTTTTATAATTGAGTAGGCGTGACGATTTTGTCACTTTGCTGCAGGTACTCTGGACGTGCCCTTCGACCGACTTGATGTATTTTCTATATCGAGCTACTTGAATGAACTACCAAAGGGAAAGGCGTTAAGTTAATTTTTGCGACAAGGAGAATATTTACCACAGACGGTCAGGCGGACATACTTAACCCAATTCAGAAATTTATGCTAATCAAAAAGCGAGTCTTAAGTTTTCTTTAAAATATTGCAAATGTTTGCGAATTGCTGCTCGATTGTGCATCTGCAGAAGAAAAGGGATGGATGAACCTACGTCAATATCATTTGAAGTCTTCTTTTCTTTCTTTTTTCTTATCAAGTAATTTAATCTTCATATAATTTTTGTCCTTTTTTATCTTAATTCGATAATCCTAGGACGCCATTTTTGTTCGTATTAATGAATTCATAGTTGCCCTATCTTGAAATCTCATAAAGTGGAAAACTTTTATGTAATTCATTTTTTTTTACATTTATGTAAACATAGTATACCGTTAAAGTAGCTAAGATATAATGAAGATAAAATATTTTTTCTTATAATTACAGGGTTGTATTAAACAGTAATGCCGTTAAATTTCATTTTAATGCTTTGCTTATTGCTCATGTCTCGATAGGATGAAAAATTCTGGACAAAAAAGGGTTAGCTATTAGTATTTTGACATAATAAATCATTTAGGATGATGTTCTTACGAAAAGTTCGACCTTTACAACAGCGTTCGTCATTGAACCAAAGCGTTGGGTAGCAAATTTCATTAAAATATCAAAAAAACTTCGGCCTGCAGTTCAAAGACAACACTACATGAAGATGCAACAGACGGACAGACAGACAGACGGGCTTAAATCGATTTAGAAAATGATTCTCTATCAATCGGTGTAATCGGTGTAATCGGTTGGTCTGTCTTAGGTCTTTGTAGTTGTCACGTACTCTCGCACAAGCCTAATATACTCTGTATCACAAGTGGTGAAGACTGCGCAAAAAAGCGGCATAAATAAATAAGTCTTGAAACTAAACGCACAACTCCCTCATCTGAAAGGTTGTTATATGCAATTTTCACAATTTCTCGGAAAAAGTGGCTAATTAGTAGTATCTGGGCATTCTAAACTGGTACGACATCTTTGGACCGACTGGGGCAGCTTTTAAACACCCTTTCATATAACGAAAACTGAAGTTCGTATTGGAAAAAGGTCTAATTTTGAATGCTTCATGACGAAAATTAGACCGTAATAGCGATTTAAGGCAAAAAATTAATCGTATCAAATTTGGACCATCTGGTCGTGTTTGTTGGATTCTCCCCTATATAAAGAGTGTCATGAAAATTGATTCTTTGTAAAGCGGAAAAGTCTGTGGTGGCGGACATTGATCAGTACTATAACAATAATAACAATTTCATCCAAAAATGGACAGTAGAAAATTAGGACCATCTAGGCCTATTTATATATCCTGCCCTCTGTAAGGATTAAACTTATACTACATTTTGGGACTTCTTCCCTATGAAGACGCACATGAAAAATATGCCCTTTATATAGAAACAAGATATAGTTTTTGTGTTCTATAATAAAAATAAGAATTGTGTTAGACAATGTGGTATAGGGTATTTAATGGTCGGCCTTGCCCGAATATAATAATTTTACTTGTTTTTGAAAACAAAAGTGGCCTCAGATTACGTTGCACTGGCCCTTAATTGACTTTGCTCATTTTCAATAGTAGTCTGCTTGTAAGAACTTCCAATGCTTTTGCCAGATTTGAAGCTGATATCTTAGACTTTGTGGGGAGGTGAACGTTGACGATACAAACCCACGGAAGCGGACTAGTGGCCAGGCAGGCAGACAGGCATTCATAAATCGTTTCGGTATTTCATGCTGGTCAAGAATATACATAAATTACTTGATGAGGTCTTTGAAACTTCCTTCGAAGTAAAGACTATACTATTATCTTTCAATTGGGTGGGAGTGGGGCGTTAACAAACCAAATTAATATGAAAATAAAATTTAACCAGAAATTTCCTATGAATCCTATACATACATATAATGTACATGTATTTCTATTCATAATATAATGATGATTGGATACACGCTCAGCTCGCAAGCTTGTCGTAAAGTATATTCCACAATTAATGGTGGGCTCAGCAAATATTCCGCATTCATTTAATACATCTAACATAACCATACACATGAACATTTTAATCATAATCAACGATACCATGCTGAGAGTCAAACAAATTCTTCAACACATGATTTAGCATGCGGGCACATTCTCTTACGTACATATTCACATATATATGTATCGTGTTTATAAATAAGTTCTTACCGCTTTTTCCTAAGCAATGAAGCATCAAGCTGTGACTTTTCCATTTCGAAGTTTTATCTTTATCGGCATAGGTGGTATAGTTGAAAAGTGTATGTAACATAATTCGTAGTAGAAGCTTCGGCAAACACGGTAAACTTTATTCAAAGGAAAGCGCTATTGAATCACAGGGAGACGGGAAAGAAAAGACGGTAGGTGAAGTGGTTATGAAATTGTAATTCTACTTAAGGTACCAGTTTGATAGAATGCATTAAGATTTACGAAATCGGTAGTAGACATCCTATGCGATTGAGTCGAAAGATGCGGCATATTACGATTTTTCAGTGTGAAAACATTCTCTTTTTAAACGCGAGCCGCCACTGAGAGGATATCTTCTTGAGATGATGATGATGAAAGAAATGCGGATAGGGAGATAGCACGCAGTCGTAGTGGAAGGCTATTAGCAGCTATTAGTTTTAGGTGTTATATGTACTTACCCTGTTATACGTTGAGTAATTACTTCTTATGATCGTATAATATATATACATATATATTCATGACATTCTGTGATCTAGATAGGGAAATAACAGTAGAACTAAAATGAAGTATGGAATTGTAACGTAAGCGAGGTTAATGTACAACAGCATGGGGTTTTACTAAAGGTCTCGGCTCGATCGCAAGTCTGGTCTATCGTGCTGAGAATTGAAAACAAGTATGCTGACTTGGTAGCCGCTTCTTGTCTTCTATCACCAACACCGCAGCCCACATTTGACCCCATCATATGAAAGTCATTTATGGCACCTTGGAGACAATCAACTACCACGTGCTACTCTCCGATCTCCTTTACGTAGATTCTATTTCAAATGGTACCCTGGTAGCCCGATAGCCCAGATTCTTAATAACCAAGGTAAAATTGAATATCAATAGACCTACTACTCATAGCGCTTAGCTTGCTGGGAGGATTTACGAGCTGAAGAACGCCATCAAACATCAAGTGATGCAATTGACCCCGACAGTTAAAAGGAAAGAAAAAAGATCTTAAAGACTGACGCCGCTCGACTTCATATTAGTAAAGTCCATGTTACTACCCATACTCTGTCTCTGCGTCTATTGTAAGCAATGGCTCCTTGCCTGTTGCCGAGTAGGATTTCTGCATAAAAATTAAATATTATATAGATATTGGATACTGACAAGTCCTCTTTTATAGATGGTCTGAAAAAAAAATTGTCCCTGCTACGCAGAATATACATACTCGCAACGGACGGATATTTGGAGAACAATATATTTTTCCCATTTTCGTAAAATAAACGCCTATGTTGGCTTGTTAAGAACTAAACCGATAAGGACTTATTCTGTACAGTAGTAATGAGTGTCGTAATATTATCAGAATACATTTTTAATTGACAACAACAACAATAAGAACACAAACACTGGCTGATATCAAAACCTTATATAAACCATTTTTGTTTTAATTCATTATAAGTATTAAGCAAAAACATGTAAAGAAGAGTAAACTAGCATGAGAATAAAAACACGAACAAGAAGAATAATAATAATAATTTGTTTTATTTAGTAAGAAAACAAAATTTTGTTTTTGCCGTTGATATATCATATTTTTAGTCTATTGTTGTAAGGGTTGAAACTCGGTTGCGTTTCTTAATTTTCTTTTACTTTTTTTTTCTTTTGTTAATAATATTTAATAAAGAAATTCACAACAAAAGTTTCTCATTATCATGTCTGCACAGTGCTTAAAGCTAATTTGTGATGGTATTTATGCAAAACAAAAAAAAAAAATATCGAAAAATTTATAAAAATATTTTTAATTTTTCTTACAATTGTAGGAGAATTCGAAATTGTTAAGATAACGGAAGAATTGTACGATGAAGCTGTGGAGGTAAATAAAGCATCCATCTAGTGAAGTCGTTAGTCTAAGCCGTAAGAAAATTGAAATATATCTGCTTTGCAAGTGTAAAGTCTGGCTATTTCCTAATATTCAATTTTTATACCCTACACCACTTGGGATACAATGATACATGAACTTTGTGCGGATGTAGGACTGGTATACCGATCGATTCTCTTCATATAAGGGCTTGTCCATATATATGTTGGGATCTAAAAAATAGGCCTACGTGATACTTTTTGCTACATTTGCTACCCTAGACCCGTTTTCATCATAAAATATTCTGGTGTTGCTCTCCAAGAGAAAGAAAAAATTGAACCAAATTTTTCATATCAATTTAGAAAGTGGAAGCGCAGGAAGTACTTAGCGAGTTTTATCGAGAAATTTTGAATATTCACAATAAAAATAAGGAAATACCGGGAAAAGTGATCCAATCCGAACCAATTTTAATAACGTTCGTCCTTGGGTCAAAGCTAAATTTCATCAAAATGTATAGAAACTTGTGATGGACAGACATGTCACGGACAGACGTTCGCACAAATTTGGAATTGTATAATAAAAGTTGAGTCTATCTTAAGCCCTTCCGGGCGTTACTTGCGTTCGCATCAACTTAATGTGCCCTGTACCAAAAAGGGTGTAAAGTATAAAGGAGAGTTTTGAGCGGAGAACATAATAGCAATAGCAAGCGAGGGAGCTTTGACGGTACATTGTCTGGCAATGTCATTTTGAATTGTCTGATACTACAAGGCTAATAGTCTTTAGTATTTCAATGGGTGGACGGCAGTTTGAAAAATTTGCTTTTTTTTTTTTCTTCTACAGACCGGTATTGGATCGTGACAAAGACTGAATATGTTAGACACTAATGTTTTTGGGGGAGAATGAATTTTTCATTTCTGGAATTCGTTTTAATTTTTGTATGAATGACGAAGGACCGGTCCACAATTTAAGCTTTGCACGATCATGATCACAGATGATCGTGAAAAAGAATAAATACTCTAAAAATCCATCTCCGAGTTGCCAAACGGTAATACTGGAATATCCATAATGCAACAAGCAAGATCACCTTTTTCCATGAAAATTCTCCATAACATACCGCAAACCTGGTTAGTGACAGATTCGATGCGCTCAGTTGTCAAGTATTGGCCCGTCTGGATTACTTAAAAGACTTGGCTTTTCACGACTTTTATTTGTTCGTACCAATGGGTCAAGGCAATGGATTGCGCGAACAAGTTGGCATTTAAGCCATCAAAGCTCGAAATCTTGCTAACGTGGGCATCAATCCTGTAACGTTTTAGCTAAACACTTACTCGATCTCAGAAAAAGTAAATTTCCTTTATGGAATCCTGGATGCCGATCGGCAAAGCACAATTGCAGAAGAGAGACCATTGTAAGCCCTTGTCTCGTTGAAATTAAAGAAAAGAGGCAACATTTCCTGTTGTGTTTTAAACTCGAAGTAAAAGGCGTGTCTTCTTCGCCCAGCCTATGACATCACACTTACTTACTTCTTCTTACTCCTACATCGATATGACAGGATATTATGAATAGACTTGTAATAAGAACTTAAGAAATAATAGGTCAATGTGTGACAGGGTGCGTACATGGAACACTTCCTTGCGTTTTGTATTCGAAGCGCCAAAAACCTACGTCTCGTACACATAACAGAGTCGCATGTACTAAAGCCCAAAGCCTCAGGATATTACATTGTCACATAGTAACGAGTCACGCCGTTATCCACCAACATACCGGTCATTAGTAACACCTTTCCTAGCGAGTAGATAACTTGGCTGCCCAAATTTCCTTGATGGCAAATATATGGACTTAACTTAACTTTAGGTCCAAAAGGTTGTTTTAAAACAAATATTCTGTATACTTGCAGCTCTTCAAAAATTACTTTGTAAAATACGAAAATTTAAGTATAGCTTGTAATCTACGTGACACTGAAGAGACGCGTAGTGAAATGGAAAAATTTATTAGACTTTTACTTAGGGATAACATATCGTTTGCTGCCCGTCATATACCAAGTCAGCAAATGGCCGCCATGTGTATCAATAAAATGACGGTAGGTAAGCGACCGTGTAATTGTCGAATTAATAAAAATCATTTTCATTCTTCTTTAGAATCCCTCGGCCAATATAAAGCCAGATCATATTTTCGAAATACTTGAGAGTCCGAATATGGAAAAAATCGGTGAAATTATGCATCACTTAGAAACATCTTACGATATTTACAAAGAATGGCAGGTGAAATGCATTATTGAATTGACTTTTCTTTCCACTCGCACCGAATTCAGCCGTCGAGGCTTAGCGTTAATTTTGGCCGAATTCACCGTAGATTACGGGCGTAAATTGAAAGAAGAAGGTTCGAAAGAGTCCTTAGAACTTCCAGCTTATCTTAAAGGTCAACAACCGGAAGCCATAACCTCAGTCTTTACTTCGCATTTCTCGCAAAGGGTCGGAGAGAAATTAGGCTTCGTAACTTTATTTCGCGAAGAGTATTCAAAATTTTCGTTTGAAGGTAAAACTTTTGCAGAGAAAATTGATCCACAGCATAAGTATATAATATTTGCAGCGAAACATTTATGAAAAATTTTTTAAATATATTTTAAGATAAACTTGAAATTATACGTGAAAAGTCTATTTCTTTATTAAAAATGTTTCTTCATATAAATTGGAAAAGGGTCTTGCTTGAAATCGATAAAGCAATTTTATCGCACTTATAGGACTTTAGTAAACCAGATAGTTGATTGCCGTTTTTACATATATAACTGTATTTGGCCCTCCTGAACGCTTAGTCGTCCTGAGCACCCACCATGCTTTCCTTTGGCCCAAAATGATTCGGTGGAAAATCGTATATTTGTGCGGCTATTGAAAGGTTGCTCCCACTAAAGGTCGACTATCTTGTTTTGGAACGATGATGTGCATGGTGTTCAAGCAAAAATGATTGTTTAACGCTAAAGAATTTTATCTGAAGAATTAGCATTAGAATCACTATCTCAGCCTTGAACTGATTACCGATAGAGAACATAACGCTACATTTACTGGTACGTCAATATGTTGTCTTGACATAATTTAATTTAGAATTAGCGCCAAATATATAAAAACTTTCATATGTATTGTGAGTAGTCCAAAACGTCCCTTATTTTGATCTGACATTTCGATTAAGGAAGTGCTAGGCTAACTTAGAATAGTAAAACATAAGATAGTGGTAATTTGGTACTCGGTTTACTCTAAACGGACATTGGTTAACGATAGTTTTGGTTTATTTTTAGCTGAGATCTGCCAAGGTTGAAAAAGCCAAGTCAAAGAGGGCGATTCCCGTTCTTTGATGCCGTTTTTCTTTTATAAAGTTTATATATGTATATTCTTTCACCTATAATGTATATACAGAAAAACACGAAAGCCAAACGAGCTCAGACCTTCTTTGCTAGGTTACCTTCCCTGGTGTGCCAAATAGCCGAGCAGATAAGGACCACGATTAGCAAGACGATGTTCGCGGGTTCAATTTAGAACGCGATTTGATATCTTTACTTGGTCGTGGCTATAATGAGTGCTAAGTCCGTAAAGACGTAACATTTATTAACTAAGCCGACTATGCAAGTCACTATCTCCTCATTAACTCCGTTTTAAATATCACCACTCTGTACGCAGAGAAGACATAACATACGTGATTGGTTACATTAAAAAAAAGAAAAAAAAAAGTTAGGTTAAGCGGTCACAAAGAGAGAGAGAAAGAGAGAGGGAGAAAGAGAAACAAAAGAAAAATAATAAGAAAAGAAATAGGAGACACAAATGGAACAAACTCGGCCTTCAATATATAATTGAAAGCCCTTAGTTAATAAAAACAAGTAAAAGCATTATAGTCAGGTAAGGAGGGTGTTAGATAGATAACCTACCCCACTTCGCCGAATGCAGTTATTCAATCGTTTTGATAATAGTACACCAAAGGTTACACATTATTTCCATGCAAGGGCATACTTTCCATGAGAGCCGGCATATCAGAGGAATCCTTATATGCGGTAGTATCCAAACAATACATCTATGTTGTTCAAATTCGCTAAGGCTGATTTCTATGTCAATTTAGTATTATGAACTATCACCATGAAGTTATACCATTTCAATATATAAAGATTCGGTTTACCTAATAATGGTTGCGAGCGGGCTGGAAAACTTGCCTCAGGTGAAACGAATTTTTCATACCAATTTAGAGCGTCCAAATGCTGTTACAGAGTGAGTTTTGTCGCAAAATTTTAAATATTGCAATTTATTTTCATACAACGACTTTTCGAAATAGAGCGTTATAAGGGGAGTGGTTGTAAAAATGAATTGATTCGAACCGATTTCAACAGCGGTCTTCCTTGAAAATTGCGACGTGTAGCTTGAAGATAAATTTACACATATAGACACGGACAGACGGACAGAAAAGGCTAAGATTAGAGAATGTTTCTGAATGAAAAAAGATGGGTATATCCTACGCCCTTCTTCGAAATTAATTCAAGTTTTCCTGTATTTAGATTTTGAGAAGATCTTGGATTTGGCTTGTGATAACAACGTAGAATGCTGTCTGGCGTTTTTTTGAACTAGATAATGGGAACATCGTATAGGTTCGTCAATAGTGGCGACATTTATACGTCATACTAGGAACCTCATCGACCTGATTTATGATTAGAAAGCTGTAAAAAGTAAGTATGCTTTCATTCGGATTGATGGGAAAATTTACATGGTCGACCATACGAATTTCATTATTAAGCATATAGAAAGGTATTAAAAATCTTAGATTAAATGAACTGAGGCATAAATTTTGAAGAGGTTTATGAAATTAATGTCAATAGAAAAGTTTGTTTTTTTTTCAGATAAAATCCGTACAGATCTTAAGAGTGCGATAAGCTTATTTGATCTTTAACTGTCTAAAAAAAAAAAAAAAAATAAAAATAAAAAAATTCAAAATCGTTTTCATAAAGAGCGTTTGTTATTGTTTGTGTACATCAACCCTAGTCTCTGGCTCTGGCTCTGGCGTTTTGCTTATTACCCTCGTTCGCGTGTATTTGCGCGAGAGTACCTTATGAGTAAAAAGCAATTGTCTGTTATGATATCATAAGTTGAGAATAATAACGTTATAAGGGGCGCAAGGGAATGAGTACGCAATTCATGTAGGAATTATGTTATTATTCTACTCTACTCTATATATATATATATATATATATATATATATACTCCATATATATGTCTATATATATGTATGTATGTAAAAAGGTTTTTTTTTTTAATTTTTTTATTTTTTCTTCAATTTAATGAAAAAGTGGGCGGTCATGCTTGATTGTCTATTATAATGTGATTATAATCATATACAACAAAATATGTTTTATTTTTTTGTGGTTAAAAAAATTTTTATATTTTTATTTCTTTCAAATTAATTTAAGTTTTCTTCTTAACTTTTATATAAAAAATATTTTTTTACTAATTATAGTTTAAAATCAAAAATTTACTTACATCACCTGCCGCGGAACAACTAACTATTTTTTTATTAATTTTGTTTATACAGCTGCAATTAGGAAGACACTCTCACACTTAACCATACATGGGCAAACACACAATCAAAAATAACAAATTGTTTATTATGGCAACGTTAGTAGATTTTGTTTTTACAGTTAGATAGAAGAAAAAAAAAAAAAAATAACAAAAACAAAAAACATATTATAATAATTCACACAGAAAAGAACAACAACGAGAACATGTTTATATTAAACCCTCATGATGAGTCGGCAAATACACATGCATACCTACAGATATTTGCTTATGGCGAAAGCACAAAAAAAAACGTGACGTACAAGTGAGGAAATTATATTCGGCTGAAGTCGAATCCCTTACACGCCTCTAGATTGCCTAAGTGTAAGGGATGAAAACCTCAGGAAAATATATGAAATTTCAATACTTATAGTATTGGATGGGCGTGGTCGTTTTTTTTTTTTTACAATAAAATCGCAAGTATTTGTCGGGAAATTTTTAACCGTTATATCTATTAAAGCTTAAGTATAAAGAGTAAAAGACGTTAGTTTGTTTTGCTTTGAAGCCTTCTCTCTGTCTGTATTGCACAGTCGGTGTGTTCTTTAACAAATTTATACCATTTTCAGTACCGACGGTTAGGCTATTCAAATTGAAAATCAAAATCTTACTTATTATGATAAGAAAAGAGCTTACCAAAGATATTACAAAAACGGACGGAGGGACATATCTGAATTGATTTAGAAGTCGAACAGTAGATTAAAAATATGTTTGCTCTAAGAACTCTATGAGATCTACTTCTAGTTATTCATGGCGAGGATGGAAGGGGGTCAACACCGGGCACCATGCGTGTGAGGCTTCGATGGGATCATTTAATACGTTTGCGTGTGTGTGTATGTGGCATTCCACTCAAAAAGTAGTCAAAGCCTCATTTAATGTCATACTATATACGTTGTGGGAACATGTCTGAACCAGTTCAGAATTTGATCAGTAGATGAAGAATATATATGCTCTATAGACCTCGTTTGGCCTTCTTTTAGTTGTAAACGTTTTGATGAATGGAATGCACCACCAGTCCCGCGGTGGAGAGCACACAAAAACGGAAACCGTACACATATAAAGGCTTTGAAAGAATCGTTAAATACTCACCGGCATGGCTGGTGTATGACATTCAACTAAACAAATGGTCATATATACATATCGTACGAATATATCCGAATCAATTAAAAGTTTAATCGTTACATCAAGAATATATATGCTTTAGTTTTCTAGATGCCAAACTTTTGGCGTTGAACTAAATACACCAGCAATCTCGGAGTGGAGGCACTCAAAAAGTAAAACGGAAACCATGTTCATAGAGAGGCTTTGATCGAACCATTTAATGCTCAGCAGCGCTCGCTAGTGCATGACATTCCACTAGAAAATTAATTGAAATCCAACTTAACCGTTATATCGAAAACTTGTCATATTATACTTGCAGCACATTGTACATATTTTAATTCATATTTCTATGCGATTTGTAACAAGAAATTATAGTCGATTTCCTTATTTATTCATTTAAACTACGGGACTACATTTTAGGTTTAATTTCTATTAAACAAAGTAAGTTAAGGAAAAGATGACAGGCGGTATCTGTCAAAGTTAAGCGGAAAAAAATTAATTTGAAATATTTGTGGAATGACATAGTGAAAATAAACAGGTAAGGCCGACTATTAAATACTCTATATCACATTATGTAACATGATTCTTATTTTTCTATATAAGGGCTTATTTCCATCTGCGTATTTATGGGGAATCGGTTGCAAAGTGCAACGTAATGTGGTACAAGTTGAAGCCTTACATAGGGCAGGATCCAAAAATAGACGTATATGGTCCCAATTTTGTGAAATTACTGTTATGGGTCGATTTCCATCACCATATATTAATACTTGCACTTTTCTGCTCTACAAAGTATCAATTTTCGTGAAGATCCTTATTTTGGTAAGATTCAAAAAATAGGTCGAGATGATCCAAGTTTGGTACAGTTAATTTTTTTATGTTAAATAACTATTATGATATCATTTATATCATAAAGGGTTGAAAATTGTACTTTTTGGCGCTAGAACTTCAGTTTTCGCTATATGAGAGGGAATTCAAAAATTGCCCCAGCCGGTTAAAAGTTGTCATACCAATTTAGAATGCCGAAATACTACTATTACTAATACTTAGCCACTTTTGTCAAAAAATTTTGAAAATTTTCGTATCGAGAAAACGGACCGATGCGAGTCATCATTCGTCACTGTGTCAAAGCAGGTCAGTGTTCTAATTTCCTTAAAATATTTCGAAAATTGGCAGACAGACAAACGGATGTATGGGCGGACTGACAGGCTTAGATCAATTCAGAATCGTTTTTCGGGTAATAGAAAGTGGGTCTATCTCAACTCTGCACATAATTAATGCAGCTGATATCACAAGCGGCGTAGGATATAACAAAGATAGTGCATCTGATCTGATTAATTATCAAGTTCACTAAGAAGCAAATACTTAAAATAGAACAGTAGCGCTAATCTGTTTTCCTAAGAATCGACATCAGTAACTCACTAGATAGACTCTATCCGTGGCTCGCTTGCGTGGAGTATGTAATTCCAAATCATAACAAAACTTCATTCACACAATATACTGATTATTAATGATATCGTGTCTAGTCCAAATTATTTTCATAACGATTTGAGAATTTGTTATACGAAACAGCCCAAATTGTGGACTCACCTTGGTTGGCTTTTAACTGTGTCCGTTGACATTGAAGACATGTGAGTTTCTAAACTGAAAGTTCAGTACAACTTAGGAAACAGAGTAAAAGAATTCCCGGGTTTCTCTTCTATTGAATCAAACCATCAAGTGCAAGGTCTAGGGCAAAAGTGAACCCATAATAAACCAATAGGTATTGCTTAAAACCAATCCCAGTTATTGATCAAAGAATTATCTCTTTCTTCCCTTTCATAGCTACTGTTGCTCTACAACCGTTCTATATAACGGTTTTTTTTTTTCTAATTTTATTTTATTTATTTACAGAAAGTATTATTTATATATTTTTTCTTTCTCTATTCAAGGTTTTAAAGAAAATTTCACCAAACTATGCAACAAACAATTCATTAATCAGTTTTTAAAAAACAAACACACAGCGTTGAAAACATCGAACAGAATGTTGAAATTCTGAGTAAGATTAATGATTTTTATCATATTTCTCAATTATTTACTTCATTAACCCTTTGAGATGCGACAGACCATAAAACCGTAAAAAGTTTTCAACAGTGCCGCTACGGTTTTTAAAGAATGATATTTCGTCAAAGTCGTTATGCTTTTTCGCGGCTTTAGGGTATTAAGAGCCTTTGAGTGTTAGAGCTAAAGAGAAATGTGATGGCTTTGCCCGGTGATGAGGTAAAGCAAATTCATTTTGATGTAAAGCTGCCTTTCAAGATATTTTAGGGAAATATCCGAGTCAACGGTTAGAGGCAGTGATAACAATTTCCTCCTTTAGCTGCCTCGAATGCTAATCTGCTTTTCACCATCATTTGTTATGTAATGAATAGCGATTAAATTAAAGTTTTATTCGCATTGGATCTGATGAGTGCCATAAGATATGATCCTGTAAAAGATTTGCATATTTCGCGAGCGCCAGAGGAAATCTGTTTGCTTAAGCAGATGTTAAGGGCTACCAATATACCCTTGCTACGGCTTAGTACAATTTCTAATGATTAAATGCTATACCACTTTGCGACGGCGAGGAGAAACCAAAGCCCACTGACAAACGACATTCATAATCGTCTTTTCACCCCTTACGTGATCTCTTGACTAGGGATTGAGTCAAAGTTCGTAGAACAGCCGAACTTTCGCAGGGACTCATTAAGCACGTTTACTTGTTAACTAGCCCGCAGTACTACATAAACTGCAAGCATATCAGTTTCTCAAGGAATAAAAAATTGGTTTTTTGCTCATTGCTGATAAAGGTACAAAAATTTTAATGCATATTCTATGGGTGACGCCGCAGCGCCTGTACAAAAATGAAAAATTTGACCACGCCTACTCAATGTTATAACGTGTGCAAAATTTAATTTTTTTTCAAAACCAACTTCAAAAACCCCACAAACTACTCAAATTCTTGATCAATTTCAAATTTGGAATTCACCTAAACATTTTCGTCCATCCGATTGCGCACCTATGGAGTGATTGTGGTAAACATTCTCCCGTTAGCGAAAATGAAGATATCGCCTAAAAATTTGGGAGGGAGCTTGACTGTTCACAGCACACGCCTAATGGACAAAAACTTTTGTTTTGAAAAAAGGAAAGTAAGCCGCGCCCATGAAAATTTACTTCTTTTATATTTTTTGTCTTTTTAGGATAACGCTCATTGAGGTATAAACGATTCGGTCACGACCGAATACTATTTTCTTACTTATAACCGCGAAAGTGAACACGCAAACCTTAAAATATATAGGCTATCTTGGCTGGAAATCGTCACTTTGGCAAGACTATCTATGACTTCAATACACATAAGATAGACAAGAGAAATAGTCGAGCAACCTGTCCAAACCCAACGAGCAAAAGTTTGACACGGATTTTGGGCTGTCAAAATAACTTAGTCGCACGTTTTCGCAAATAATTGATGATCGAAACCTTCGCAAACGAGATTATCTTATAGCTCTAAGCTACTGGGATGTAAAACGCTTGCATGTTAAAACCTGCTAAACAGCTTGTTAAACAATGGTCCTGTTGAGCATGCTTTCTGTCGAAAGACTCTCTAAGATCTTAGCAAAAATGTTTAATCTTTCTAGGCAATGAAAATATTTTACAAATCTATATAATATTTACTTTGGCAAAGGAAAGATGTCATAACAAAAGCGTAGCCCTATCTCCCAGGTCTCAATTTTCAAGAACATGAACAAGGTACATTTCCCTATTTAACATTTAAATATTAAACTTTCTATGACTTGTAATAGAACTCCACTCTCCACTTTAATCTCTTAGAAATATTCAGCTCACAGTATACAGAGACTTGATATATAAGTATTTTATATTAAATTTAACGATAAAAACAAATTTAATAATATTAAACTCATTAAAACGAAATTAAAACATAATGAAAGTCTATAAAGGAAAATATTATCAAAAAAAAGGCATCAAGAAAATTTTCAAAAAAAAAACAAATAAATAAATAAACAAATAAGAAAATTATATTCGGTCGTGAGTGAATCTTTTATACCCATCACCGTTATTCTAAACCGACAAAAAAAAGAAGAAAAGAAAGTGTATTTTCTAAATGCTCTATAATATGGAGTGGAAGCGGCTAAGGTTTCCTTTTTCAAAATAAAAGCGTATGTCGCATAGCTGTGTGGGCGTTGTAGGCGCGACTTGTGAAAAGTTTGGCCCCCTCTCAAATTAGTAAGTGATATCTTCATTTTCGATAACGCTAGAATGTTTATCACGAATACTACACAGTTGCGTAGATAGACATATGGACGGACATATCTAAGTGCATTCGAAATTTTAACTTGGCCAAGATTTTGTATATTTTATGGGAGAAAAAAAATCAAATTTTGCTATTCTATAATGCTGAGTAGGCGGGGTCAATTTTTTCCATTTTTCTACAGAGACTGGAGCAACGCCTATAGAATTTTAATGCATTTGTCCGCTATAGTTTATGAGTAACGAGCAAAACACCAAATTTTTATTCATTTTGAAAAACAGAGGTGTTCACAGTTTCCTTGGTGCTGTGGGCGTATCCTCCGACCAATTCGGCTCATTTTCAATACCAATCTGCGTGCAAGAACTATCAATATTTTTGCCAAATTTAAAATCGTTAGCTTTATTTTTGCAGCCAGGAGAATGTATACAACAGACGGACAGACGGACGTGTTTAAATCAATTTCGTATTAAATGCTGATCAAGATTATATATATGCTGTGGGGTCTCTAATGTTTCCTTATGGGCGTTGCAAACATTTTGACAAAATGAATACGCTCCTCATCCTCCGATGATGGGTATACTAAAAGGTTCTTCACAACAAACAACAAGAAAAAAAATAAAAAAACAAAAAAGGAAAAGAAGAAAATCTACAAAGAAGGCAAACGAGATTTATACGGCAACGAAACATATGATTGGTTAGTTGATATGATAAGCGCCACCCATTCAATGTAAAACTGACGCCATATAGAAATCCTTGCTTAGATTGCATGAACACGTTATAACAACCCTTCTTATAGCAGCAGCGATTAGGTTTTGGTTGGAAGGGATGTATTGGTTTACTTTTGCTCTTCGCTTTAAGATTACATTTTACATTGAAACTCGAACGGTTAACGGCGGAAGTTAAAAGCGCAACCATTACATTGTTTAACCGGCAATTAACAAGTGTTGTGACATATTATAAATAATCACAAAAGAAAAAAGAAAAAAATAATATATATATATATATATATATATGTATATAAAGAAAATATCATTAAAAAAAAATTAAAGCGAAAAATTTGTAAATAAAGAACGTGCGCCGATTAAGTGTTAACACGTTTCACGAATTAAGCCACACTTGCGGACAAAAAAAAAAAAAAAACTTAGATCAACATTTTTTTCCAATTACTTTACTCGCCCTCCCCTTGCTAAAGCTAAACTTTTATCTTATCTTTCGCTCAAGTGCATATATATTACGTAGGAAATGGAAAACCGATTAATAATAAAAATCGATAATTATTTGTAATAACGAATGAAAAGAAAAAAAAAAAAATAGTTCATGTAACAACTTATGTAAATCCGTTTTCTAACAAGTTAAACATATCAGTATTAGTGGACCCTTAAGTTGCTTTCTGTCATATCATTTCAACACTTGTTGTTCAATTGAAGACACGTGCCGCGCCGCATATAACATCTAAGCGCTATTAACTGCTTTGAATAGTGCAAGCGTCGGAAGTCAATTACTTTCCTTTTTTATCGGTTTATGCGGTTTTTTTAAGAAATTTATTTTTTTTCGTTGCTGTTGTTGTCGTTGTAAACCATTATCCGCAAAATTTGATTGTATCGCAATGTTTTCTATGGATAATTTTGATTTGGAATCAACAATGGCTCGTCATTTTTTCGAAGGTTCTCAAGCTACAAACGGTTCATCGTCTTCTGGTTCGGAATTTTTCTTCGGCGATGATAACAGCTCGGATAGCGATGATGATGATGCCTATAGCAGTGGCTTTAATAGCGATCAAGAGAATAATGAAAAAACGTAAGTGTGAAGAAAAAAGTAAAAAAATTATATTCGGTCACGATCGAATCATCGTCTATACTCAGGACAGTAATCCTAAAAAGAAAAGAGAAATGTTAAATTTTCCTACTTTATTCTGTTGAATGGGCGCGGCTTATTTTTTCTGCTTCAGAATAAAAGTGGAAATTTTTGCTTTAAAAGTGACAAACAAAAATCACGGAAAGCAAAAATGTTCATAGCTTCTGTTACGTAGGCATGGGGGCGTAGTAGGCATGTGCCTTGTAAAGTTTTGACTATTTTCAAATTCTTTTGGAAATTTGTAGGCGATATCTTTATTTTTACGAACGGGTGAATATTCCGCGTACAGATGGACAGGTGGACAGATGGACATTCCTACGTGCATTCCGAATATGAAGAGTTTATATACTTCATGATATATGGTTTTGCGAAGCTTTCTTCTCTGCGCTGTAGAGGTTTTGAAAAACTGAATAGATGCGGGCGACTTTTGTAAAGGTACTGCAGAATCCTCCAGAGAATATACCAAATCAATACATGTAATGAGCAAAAAACCAACTTTTTATTCCTCTCGAAAAACAGAAGTGTCCGCACTTCATTTATTACTGTGGGCATTTCGTTCGAGTGAAATGCTCTCTCAATAAAGGCCTAATACTTACCGATCGGGATACTTACTATGATAGTCGGCTTAAGCCGAACATAATTTCTCTGCTGTTCAGTTTTTGCTACCACCACTGCCAAGCCTTTACAGAAGGTGCAAGGCTGACTTGAAAAGCTTGAATGCCTCTGTCAAGATATTAAGAGTTTGAGATGAGGTCTTTGATGTTGATTGCGAATACAGAATTATAAATTTTCCATCTGCCATCTTGGAATAGTTTAACTGCCAAAGTTGACGTACATGGTCCCAATTTCCAGTGCGGCACACCGCACCATCTATTTTTCTATCGATAATGGTATAACACCTAGAGATGCAGCACGCACCTCTCCGGCTGCAATTGCTCCCGTTGTGTCTCCAAACATTTCCTTCTGACCACTACTGCGTTACATGAAACAAAGAAAAAAAATCGGCGCTTGCCGAGATGGCCATGAGTTCTTTTGGAGACCTTTTTTTACCGCATCAATGGGCCTAAAGCAACTTTCAGTAAAGATGTAAAGTGGAGGGAATCTTCTGTACGCACTCGTACTGTTATGAGAATCTGCGAACTACTAGCTTTGGTAGATGGACTTTTTTATTTTTCTCTTCGATGAAATGAAAATCTTTAGCGTATAATTAGAGGCATTATGGGACTATAGATTTAAAACGGACATTTTGGACTGCAAATCGTTGTTATGCCAGTTGACGGATTATGCGGATGGCATATGACTCGGTCTTTCTAAATCGATAAAATTTCTTTAGATGTATATATATATATACATATATATATTCTAAATGATCAGTAACTGAAGGCGCATTTCCTACGCCTATAAATACGTTGATATTCAGAAAGCATTATAGCTAGGGGAAGACATATTATATCTGTCTACAAAGATTGAACCGATATTCTTAGGTAGAAAAGGCTCTATAAAGCATTATATATACGTATTCTTGGTCGCCCCGTAAACCATTCTACATTTAATTGTTTCCCAGTCGTTCGTCATAGGATATTTTATGGTAGCGTCGGCGTCAGATAATTTTTGGTCCCTTATGTTCGTTCTGCCGTTTCTTATAGGGACTTCCACGTTCTTTGTCGTGCAAAACTCAGAAGGGCTTGTGATCGACCAGCTTTATTAAACCGATCATTTCCTGAATCGATATAGGTCTGGCCATAAATCTCTCCGTTTGTCGGTCTGTCCTGTGTTCAACCTACAGCTAGCAATTTTGAAGATTTTTTGATGAAATTTATTACATCGACATGTTTTCGCCCAAGGTCGAACTTTTTCGACTATTTTCCCTATAAGGCCTTATTTCAGGAAGTCCTTATATAAATAATTGTAGAATGATGTAGAGTACTTAATGATAGATCGTGGCCCACTATAACTTTTTCACTAATTTGCGTGTGAAACTATCGTGACCTTTAGCTTTGCATTGTTTGATAGTAAGCGATTTTATTGGAAAAATAAATGCACCTGAGAAAAATTATCACAGACCAGAAGGAAATTTGAGAGTCGACAGAGTTTATTTTAAAAATTTGGATTGTTTTAAAACCAATTTCTTAATCTTATATTATAGTCGTTCGCATAAGCCGCGACGTTTAAAGTGCGCCTCGCAAGTGGCGCAACAACGTCAGGCAGCAAATTTGCGTGAACGTCGTCGTATGCAAAGTATTAACGAGGCATTTGAGGGTCTACGTTCGCATATACCGACTCTACCCTACGAGAAACGTTTGAGTAAAGTCGACACATTAAAATTGGCCATCAGTTACATTACATTCCTAAGTGAAATGGTGAAAAAAGATAAAAATGATAACGAGCCCGGCTTGACTGTGCAGCGTAACTATCAGAAGGAACCTCCTAAGAAAATCATCTTGAAGGATCGCAGTAAGTAATAAACATTCTCTTATAAATTAATTGGTTTCTTTTTCTTAACTAAAATCAGATATTTGTTATACCCTACGCCACTTTTAGTGCAAGAGTATATTAACTTTGTTCGGATGAAAGCAACGCGCAGAAGGGCTTTAGAGAGATCCACCTTTTGTTGTACCATTCAATTCAGAATCACTTTCTCATACTTTTCTGTTCATCCATCCGTCTGTCCCCTTTGCAAGCTTGTGTTTATCCTACAGGTAACAATTTTTCATACATTTTAATAAAACTTGGTAAACTGAAGATTTTTGGACCAAAGAAGAACTTTGTTGAAAACTATTCTGATCGGACCACTCTTTTCTCCCCTCTCCCGCATAAAAGCTTTCTTTTGAAAAGCCCTCGCTAGAAGAACTGTGTCAAATGAAGTGGTATAGGGTATCTGATGGTGGGCTGCGGTCCACTGTAGTGTTTTATCATGCTTGAAGAAAACAATTCGTAATAAAATTGGAAATTTAGAGTATAATGGCAGTGATAGCTTCTTGAAATCATCTCTTAAGTTTTAATTATTCATTAGGATCTAAATAAAGAAAATAACGATATTACTTCAAGTAGTTCCTTCTGATAGAATTTTTTATGAGGCATGGGTGCTCAGTGTATCGTTACCTATTGATCTAAGTGATTTTTGAATGGAACGAGGCAATTTTGTATAAAACATACCAATGGCCGAAGCTTTGCGAACAACATTTTTTGATCTGTTCCATAGACATGTTAAGGTGACGGTAATTATTTTGAGATTGATTTTACCCGACTAGAATTGGTTCTTCTACTTGGCGTTGAGTTCCGTTTTGATAAATTTATGAATTCGTCATTATTTCCCAATTTGGTATATTCCGACAAAGGCTGTGCAGCGAAAGTTAGCCGTAGTTGGCTTGATTGACGTCCGTTATGTCAATACTGCCTCTTCGTTCACTTGAAAATCTATAGCAAGATAAGTCTTACCGGAAACATTCTGACGTCCTACGTAATCGGATAATCTTTGATGTTTTCTATTCGTTCTGGCTGCGATTGTACCTAAGATGCAAAAAAAACCTTACACAAGCACATAAGCCGGAGGTTTCGATAAGATGATCCACTGTCGTCAATATGCTTTTACTGATTTTTCAAAAGGCATAGTTTAGTACATAAGAGGACTATATCTAGTTGACATGCCCTGCTTCTATACCCAGGATGGCATCATATCTTATCATAATATAATTTCATACCATTGGCAGGTGGCCGAACTAATGTCCGATCGGTGAATTTCCTTTCTAACTATTATCGCATTCACATTTTTTTTAGAAAATGGTTTTTGTGGAAAGGAATTGTATTTGATAAAAAAAAATATCCTAGTGAACCATTAAAGAAAAACTTTCGAACCAGGGCACATTTCAACGACGATTGCCTACGAAAAAATTTCTTTGTTCTGAGATTGATTGACTATACAGCGGAGCGAATCGCTCAACTTGGAAACGTCGGTTAGGCAATTCTCTCGTAATTTGAGATAAAATTTCCTACCACCTGCTCCGCTCATAATTATTTTTCTTCGCCTATTGCCTATGTCTCTACGTGCAGTTGCACGTCCGTCCTCATACTGCTTTTTACATAACACACGGCATAAAGTACAAATGTCCCTAAGTGTTTAACGTGGATACCTGCCGTAAATAACCGCGAATTCTTGTGGAGATACGTATATAATCGTATCTCCCCCCCTGCCAGTAAAACATAAGTACATAAAGTACAATATCATGTCCTGATTTGTCACTATTGTTCTCGGTCTGTCATTAATGTCGCATTAATGTCGCTCGCTACGATGTATCGATTTTCATGGCTTCTCAGTAATCTACGTCTGTTCTTTACGAGATTTTGATTTTCAGTGCCTGAATGGTATCTCGATGGCTTTCCGATCTCAAAGTAAACACAATACCCCCGCTGGCTAGGGCAGTTCACTTCCTAGTAACAACACTAGTTCTGAGGTCTGGACTAGCTATGGCCGCAGAAATAAATTCTAAAGCTAAAGTCTTTAAGCACCAGTATCTAACTCTATCGGTTTTATTACAAACTCTACCCCATGGATTTGCTAATCGGGCGTTCCTATCTCAAGTTCAACAATAATAACAATTTGATTTTCTTACCACATTAATTACTTTAAATAATTGGTCACCAAAGTCACGGCAAATACTTTTAAATTTATTGCATATTTTCTGAATAAATTTAAGAGAAGAGTTTAGGAAAAAAATATTTACAAATCCCTGTGGACCAGTTTTTCAAAAGCTTAAGTGAAAGCTTTGCCGACATTTATTATATAGTGATGCTTAGAGTTGATATCCTATAATCAAATTTTTCATAGCTTTTTCACTTTGCCGCGCTGCATCCTTTCGCATGCTCGCTATTCATACGTTTTTTATAGAAAAGTTATTAACCAAAAAACCGTAACAAATCGGTTTTCTTTTTTGCTTCGAATTTTTTTTTATTAGCAACGTAAAACGTATAAGCGAATCCCTAACTGCAACAAATTGAGCCATACATATATATATATAATTCAGTCGGTGTACGCACACGCTATAATGCGTTGCTCACCCTTCCTTCGTTTGCTGTCTATAGAGGATGGAAAAGTGTGAAAATTCTAATTAGTTACAGGCACATGGAATCTGTCTATCTAGAAGCTATAGTGTAATCGTATATATATATATATATGGCAAAAAAACAACCACAATTGATACCAACCGCAGCAGTGCTGACAATAACAATAGCAACAATAATAACAATATTTAGTCTTAGTATCATTTTAAACACCCTTGAATTGAAATCATTAAGATAAAGATCTTCAAAAGAGAAAACCATAAAGATCCATATGTTCATCTATTAATTTAGCATCCAGTAGCCTTAGCCAGCTTGTCGTAGTAGTTGCTAACGTCAGCACTGATGATTGAGTATGATATTGCGTGATTTTATGAATAATTTTTGTATTGTTTTGCAAAAAAAAAAAAAAACAGAAGAAGAAAGTGTACAGACATACACGTCGGCAGCTCTTTTCTCTCTCCTCCCTTTTTGGCCATCATAATGAGTATACAATTTACTTATGGTCATATTTAATTATATACATATTCATATAATAACTAGCCAGTTATGAAAGGTGTGCAGATGGTGTATGTAGGTATGTATGTAGAATCAAATATATCAAATATGCACACGTTCTTGTAAAGCCCTTGTAAACAGATTTCTTTTTCTTTTCTTAAAAGTACTCTTTCAACTGCACTTCTTACCCACATCTCATGTCTGAACTCGTGGCAGAAATACTTGACTGCTCAATTGCGAGATCAAGGGAGAAGATACCTTTAATTTTGCGAGCAAAGACGATTCTACGCAAATTAGTATGTTTGCCTTCCGATTGTTCCCGTACAAAGGTTCACTTTTTATGAGAATCCTTGTATAGCAACCAGCGCTAGCAAAATATACCGTCCAAACTGTGTACAATAAATTTTTATGTGAGGACCGATTCTCTCATTGCAAAACACTATGGGCTATATATACTACATACATATATATATATATATACATATATGAAATGCTAGATGTATAAAAAATTCTTTCCGCTAAAATTGCTTGCTTCATAATATATACCTGACGGGTTCAAAGTTTAAACTAAAGATAACTTGAATATTGAGGTTTGAACAGCGTAACTTTCAGATATTTACAAGCTGTCCTTTAGTGTATATCAAAATTTAAAGCCATTAATGTCATTTGGGAAACAAGATTTTCTCTGTCAACCTGGAAAAATATGCAGCCGAAGCTACGAAAATGATTAGTTAGTTTGAGCTGGATAAGTTAGCTTATGGAGAAGACAGTGAGCTACGAAACCGATAGAAAGTAATAAGCGAGAATTCAGGCAGATTCCTTGAAAGCGATGAAATTCGCATAAGTCCGTCCGTCTCAAACGAACGGATGGAATGTTTGCGTACCCCGCATATGGTCCAGATCTTGGCCTTTTCGGTTTACCATCCGTTTCAGAACAATGCAGCTATATTTAGCAGATCAGCGGGGTTTACAGAAGTTGGACATGTCCGAAAATAGCTTGATGGCTACTTCGCTTCTAAACCGGCAAGTCTCTACAGTGAGGGCACCCATCAACTATCCGGTGAATGGCAAAAGACAATAGGTAATTATGTTTAGGTTTGGAACAAGTTTATAAAAAATTGAATCCCATCCGAAAACTGAACGAATTTAGAATTGATGTTCAGGTGCAGTATATATTTAGTTGATCAAATTCAGAAGAGTTTTAAAGTTTCAGAGGCGTCATTTCAGGAATAAAATTTCCTTCACGGCTTAGATAATTGCGAAGAGTGTACATAGTAGATCAGATTCAACGAAATTAGGTAGCTCTGAGAAACAATATAAGTTATCCACACCAAATAGAGCCGCGCAGTCGTTTCTTAAAAAAGCTTGGCTGAGAAAGCAGTGAAGAAGATTCAGAAATGGTTTAAACGCCATTTCTCCATAAAGGAGTAAAGTCCTTGGCCTAGATGACGGAGAAGAAGTGGAAGAAGTAGAAAAGCTTAGAAAGGATGGGAAGAATATATCTAATGGATCAGACTCGTTGCTTCTTAACAAAAGACAAAACTGTTTAGAGTTGACGTAACTATGAGTTGATAACATTGAACGGAGACTCGAAATCGTTTCTTAAAAAAGAATGCCTTCGAAGTCAGTGAAGAATGCATGTAATAGATAACATTAAGGAAAAGTTCAAAGCCGTTTCTCCATGAAAAGTCACACCGAATGAACACTCGAAGCCGTTTCTTGAAAAGGATTTCCTAGAAAAGCACGGTGAAGAATGTACTTAGCAGAAGAAGTAGAAGAGTTTATAAGCATGGGAATAGCTTGCGGTTGAAGTAGCTCAGAGGAGTCGGAAGAATGCATCTAATAGGTTAGACTAAGAAGGGCCTCGAAGCAGTTTCTTAATCAAAAAAAAAGAAAAATTGTTTAGGGTTGCAGTAGCAATGAGAAATTTATTTAATTGACCGGACTGAATGAAGCTTCGAATTCATTTATTAAAAAAGGATCCCTAAGGAGGCTGTAAAGAATGCACATAACGTTAAGATAAAGTTTAGACGGATTTCGTCGTAAAGAAATCTCAATAATGATCTAGATGACGGTGAAGAAGGCACTTAGTAGAAGAAATAGCAGAGCTTATAAAGATGGCAACCGCTTACGGTGGAAGAAGCTCTCAGAAACAAATTTAGTTGACCAGACTGAACAGAACAGAGTCTCGCAGTCGCTTCTTAAGAAAGAATGGCTTCGAAGGCAGTGGAGAACCCATGTAATAGATAACATTTAGAAAAAGTTCAACGCTGCTTCTCCATAAAGAACCAGACTGAAGAAAATCTCGAAGTCGCTTCTTAAAAAGAGTCCATGAGGAGGCTGTGAAGAGCGCCTAGAAAGTTCTAATAAATACTAAACCGATTTCTCCCTAAAAAAATACCTTTAAAGGTCTAGACGGCGATGAAGAATATATTTCGTAGAAGAAGCAGAAAAGCTTGAAAGAGTGGAAAGAATTCGTCTACTAGATCAAACTGAATGGAGGATCGAAACCGTTTCCTAAGAAGGAGGCGAACATTCCAAAAACGTTTGAAACAAAAGAACTATCGTTAATGGCGTAGACCATTGCAAAGACTGTGTATAACAAGGCGACTTCAGAAGAAGCTCAGAACTATTTTTTCGTGAAAATGTGTTTATAACATTTCCCCGACTGTGAAGCAAGGTAAGAGGCTTAAAGCAGATTAGTTATGGCTTGTGACAATTTGAGAAATGCGTTCAGTAAAATGTAGTCCCATAGGAGACTCTCTATAGCTTCCTGATTAGTCTTTCAGTTTACTTTTTTCTATCACAACGACATCGATAAGTGTTTAATTGCGCGGAGTTTCTACTAAAACAAGTCCGACGTTGTAATTGAAATTTCTCTTAAAGTAAAAGCTTTAAAATAATAAAAATGTTACAATTGTTTGTTATCTCTTTGTGTTGTTATTGCTTTCTAATGCATACAATTACATACTATTGTGGGAATTCTTTTATACTCTAACAGCTGTAGACTGTAATGTAATAACAAGTTTGTAAAGCAACAAGAACAGATAGTAAATAATATTACAGAATATTCGTAGGAAGGTGTAAAAAAAAGAAAAAAAGGAAAAGGAAAAAAAAAGAAGGCAAGAGTATTCCATGTAAACATTTTGCTCCACATTAAAACGATAAGACTAGGATTAGGAGCACGCCTGGCAATAATTCACAGCAACTAGACAATAACTACAAAAAAAATCATGATGATGATGATGATGATGATGATGACAATGCTAATGATACTTAATAGATTCATTTAAACACAATTCTTACTGGAAAAATTTGTTTTACTTACAAAAAGGTCCGGGAAAATGACCAGAAAAAATATATGCAAACACTCCTCCCCTTCAATCCATCCCCCTTTTGCAATGAAAAGCACTATATAAATATTGTAAGCATTTCACACCCGCATTTTCAAGAGCATTCTTAACAAATTACCCGATACAAGGAACAAACAAGTGGAAGAACGATTTTCAACACCCACCAGAGGGGGTCTGCTACTCTTTTTTTTTCTGCGATGATAATAACTGCTTTCTGATTGGAAGCTGAGTGACAACAGTTCGTTTGTGAGTGCGTGCGATAAAAAAAAAGGAAAAAAAGAAAACAAGAAAAGGCAACATAGGTTATGTGTGTTGTGTTAACACACAATTAAGGCTCAGCATGCAGCTGCAATAACAACCCAAAGGATTTTATAGCAACAACTATCAAGCGTAACATCCCTTTTCGTTTATTTTTTTTTTTTTTTAAACTAACGCAAATAAATCCCTTTTTTTTGTAACGCACTTAAAACGTCATTTTAAAACTGCCTGTTCGATCTCGGTCGGTCTGTCTGTCCGTTCTTTTTTACTCTTCTACCACTAATGGCATTGTAATGTAGACTTTTAATGTTTTCTCAAGTGTTTTGTATTTAATATTAAATTAAAATCCAAGATATTGAGGTAAAATAGAAGACTCTCTATGGCTTAAGTCGAATCTTAGACACTTAAAATACAACAACTGTTAGCATTTATTTTTAAACAACCCTTTGCAAGACATTGGCTTATTTGCATATCTGAACTTGAATATTTACCTAGGCAGAGGGAGTGGGAGAAGTTCGTGAAAAAGTCGAGTAAATTTATTTATTCAAACACACGGCATAGGTCAAGCCGATATACGTTTGCAGTAAGTAGATAATTACAGTAATGCATATGTATATAGAAATATATGGTCTTACCATTAGCCGCACAACTTAAAACAACTTCCCATCCAATAATGCAAAAGATGCATGGCGATCAAGAAGTACATGGAAAGTCCCCGGCAATGTTAACTCATCCCCAGCTCACTCGAGCCTATCCAAGTAGTAATCATATATACGCACAGCGTAGTACTACAATCACGCACTTTAGGTAATAATTAAAGTCAAGTGAAAAAAATTCATATTTTCTCATCTTCCGCTTTCCACCTTAAAAAGAAGTCCCTAGTACTTCAGATGAATCTGATATAATGACATTCCACCTCATCCTTTCCCCAAAATTCAGCATAATATTGTTCTCAAAACCTTTTCTTGTGACTTGGGTGGGCGTAGCATAAGCAATTTCTTTTTTCGACCAAAATATGTCCAATAATGTTGTGCTTGGATTCCAAGGCCACTGCAGTGCCTTGCCCAGATGACCCCTTATTACTTGTTCCACCTTAAGCTTAAGTAACTTCTTTCGAATCCCAAAATTTTCATCGTGAATCTGTACGGCTACACCTTCCACATACGTTCACAGCAAAAGTTCTCTAAAGCAAAGTACAGATCTCAGTGATTTCAAGCTCTTTAACATCATGAAATTTCGATGGCGCTAACGCGGTCGCTGGGATAAAGCAAGGACGGAATAATTATCTTGTCGTCCCAATTTGTTTCTAACAAACTTCACAATTGAAAATATTGGAGTCATGTAAGGCTAAACTGAAGACAAAGCAATCTACATACCTGATTAGTCGGGTTTCATTGAAGCCATGACTACATCTGTAGCCGGCAGGTTTTATAGATCGTCGAGGCTAAAATTCTATAGCGTTTGCTAACTAAATTAAAATAATAATCCCACAGTTAGCTGGGTAAACCAACTTTTTGAATGTTCTCCTAACTTCTTGCTGTACATAGATCTTCAAAGCAAAAAATCCGACAACGAGGTAATATCTAGCGGACCCAATTTCAGCCAAGTTCCTGGCGGTTCTTGCAATGGGCAAAGTGTATAGATCTTTGAAGAAAAAATCTGACAGTGTCTTGTCAGTGCGGTAAAAGTGCAGTCGAGCAAATATCTAGAAGGATCGATCTCTCGAAGGTCTCGGTGGCTACTGCAATGGTCAAAGTGTATAGATTGTCTTGAAGAAAAATTTTGAATCATTTAAGAAACAGTAGACATATAAGTAAACTAACTTTATGGAAGTCTTTACCAAGCCTTTTATACTTTTGGAGACCTGCTGATTTTTCCTAGATGTTGATTGTGTCTTTAAAGTTTCGAAAGAATAATCCCATAAGGTTTCCTTGCTAAAGTAAAGTAAAGGAAACACTGTGCATATACAGTGTCTTGACTGCTTCTGATAGTACCTAGCTTTATAGGCTATCAAAGGAAGAATTCTCCAGTCATTTGTTGCTAAAGTAAAAGAAGAAAACAAGCAGACGCCTAGGTAAACCGATTTAACCAGTGTCTTGAAAAGTTTTTATACAATTTTGTTGCTTGAGAAGAAGAGGAAGAGAACAGACATATATATGAATTTGAATTTTGACGATTTCGGTAAAAGTCAGTCTTATAACGTACGTAATTACTATCTGTAGGTCCAAGTTTCTGATGCCAAGTTTCATAACCTTAGTTTCGTTGGTTCACAGTGAAACTAAATTTTTTAGTGGGAGATCAAAAGCCATCTTTCAATTGCCTTTCTTACAACAACAGGATAATGTTTGTTCTTCTGAGCTGGTCAGACAATGCACTTTGTAAGGGAAAGGCGCAATATTCTTGTCGAGAAGAAAAATGTCGGGCTCGCGTACATCTATCTACTTTGCAGTTTCTTCAAGCCGTCAAAGCCTTCCCGAACCCATAGCAAGTGTCGTTGATTGAAGCCTTTACTCTGGAAGAATTATCCTCGGTCAATAGGTACCAAGCTCAATTAAGTTCGCTATGGAAATCTCTTTATAAGCCAACTTTCCCCTTCAGAGGATTACGAAAGATTCAAAGATTTATATCGTAGAGAGTTCGTGAGTTAGTTATGATAACTAAAAAGGCCCCGCTTCACAACTGAGTTGATTAGTAAAATGCTTAGGCCAAGTCCATCTATTCGAAATCTCTCCTCTGCTGTTTCCTCTGAATTTGTTTTAGCTTTCATTTCCGTTGGAAAATATGCTCCCGGTGTCTGCCATTCTCTCTCTCTATCTTAATTTCTAATCAGTCCTTAGAACTGAATAAACCAATGTTCTGCACTAAGCCTTAGTAACATGAATGCATTTTATGTGATGATTAGTGATCAGCGCGGCAAACGTTAGTTTGTGCATAACATGCTTATGATTCGTGAGTAACGTAAAAAGGGGTAAGAAACGCTAAGCGACAGTGTTATCGTTTTTTTTTTTTCATTGTTTGTAAAGGTAATTTTAATTAAAAAACTGTTCATTTTTTCCTTTTTTTTTTTTTTTTAAGTCGTCTTAATATTTTCTTAAGGATTAATTCGAGAAAATCTTGAATTGAATTGAATTGAATTTTTTTGTATTTGCTATTTCAAACAGCTTGTGGTGTTACTCATTCTTTATCGTGGTATCGTCGCGGTGATCGTTATCCAGGCAGTAAACTTTATGCACGCACCTGGACTCCAGAGGATCCACGTTGTCATATTAGTCATGGGCAACAACAAAATGCCCAGCAACAACAACAGCAACAACAACAAATTCAATTAAATAATCTCAACAACAATAATAATAGCATTAGACAATTCCCCAATGATTCGAATCATTCCAATCAATCGGATAATGAAACAACAATTAATAATAGCAGCATCAATAACAACAACAATAGTAATAATAATAATAATAATAATAATAATAACAACAACAACAACGGCATCAGCAGCTCTAGCAATGGCAATTGCCATCCGGATAGTAGCTCTACTCATACGAATTGTCACGATTTGTACAATGAATTGCATCCCAATGGTCTTTAAAGTGTGTTCCGCAAGTTTTCATCATCAGAGTGCAATCAAAACTCAGCAAAAAGAAAGAGGAAAGTGTTTTCTAGTCACACAAGAAACTAAACTCCACTCTAGTCATTTATTAATTAATTAATATAATTAAAATAAATTATTGAAAAAAAAAAAAACTCAAGAAATTATTAGTCAACGTAGCGCATAAGACAAAAAACTCTGTTCTGTGGTATTTTCTTTTCAGTTCAAATTAAAAATTTTCTCTCTCATTTAATTAAATTTTTTTTTTCTTTTTTAATTATTTTAATATATATAATAAATAAAATAAAATAAATTTGAAAAAACTCACATTTAATTATCGGCAAATTTTAATAACAAAGAAACTAATAATGACCGCAATTAAAAATACACTATGCTGGACCTGCCCGTCACACAGCCTGTTATTAATTTGATTCATCAACGTCAACGTGATCAAATTTCATCAACAGATCTCAAAAGTCATAGCTTTTACATGGGCAGACGAACAATGGACAGACGGACAGACAAACTTAGATTAACTCAGAAATGGATTACGACCTGTAGATTGAAAACAAAAAAAAAAAGTTTAAGCAATTGCAACCAAAAATCGACTTGTAATTGCAGAAAGAAAATAAAATATTAAACGAGAGACTTGACTATGGTTCTACAGAACTGGTAAAGGCAACCTGTTAAATACGAGCAATTGTCTATTGAGGATAAAAACTTAGAAAGCTTCATTAATCAATTGAAAGTTGGTATAAAACGCGTGTAATTACGCGTGGATTTAGACAACAACAAAAGAAACAAAAACAATTATTCAATTATCATTCGGCTTTTTATAAATAATAAAAAATTGACCCTTGGAATGGAAACCTTAACCCATTGACATAGTATTTCGCTCACGTCTATGAAGAAGATACATTTTTAAATGATTTTTTGCATGAATTCTGTATTATTGTAATGCATCACATAGTGTATTTCTTTCATTCTCAATTGTATACAATTTGTATTTTCTCAGATGGTTGGAATTTCTATACAAGTTATTGAGAATATACACATTAATCTGGCATCGATCAGGCTTTTTTTTTAAAACCTATCTATTCATCGTAATCTAACAGCGTAATCCTTACGACGTTGCACTATTCTGTGATATGCCATATGTTGATAAAAGTTTATTTATGAATTAATTAATAATTAAGAACACAGGAAAATGTTAATAAAAAATTGATTTAAAATACATGAAAACATTATTCAAGGCTCAGAAGGAAGGATAGACTAGAGCTACTATCAGAGTCAGTTACCTCGTCATTGGAATCGTTCTCCAGATCCTCCTCCTTCTTCTTAATGCCACCAGCTTGCAAGCTTCGTAGCATACTAACTGAACTTTTAAAATTTTCTTTATTTTCTGCGCTCGAACGAGCCAAGTCATCCACTTGTCCTCGATTTTCTATACATAATTGTGGAAGTCCTGTGGACCCTTTAGTCCCATTGTTATTGTGTAAAGCTTTTATTTGACCTCTCTGATAGGCAATGCTAAAGCCAAGAGTTTTCAATTTCTTTTTAGCGTAGCATAACAGCGAATAAGTATTTTCATTCATATATTCACTGATTAATACGGAACCATATTCAGGATGATTCTTTACTTTTGACTTATTTCGAAGAAATTCGATTTTTAATTGCAACGTTTTAAATTGCACTTCTAAACCAACTTGATTTTGCAAGAAACTTTGATTCGTCGGACGTTGCTCATGTACGCGTACATTGTATACATCATCAACGGACAATTGGATTTCAATTGCGGCAGCAAAGGCTACGACTACATCAGCCAATGGATAGCGTACATGTTTCGAGGGAAAACGCTTCAAAACAACGCTGGTAAAATAATTTCGGGTCTTGATACTTAATTTATTTTTAGCAAGCGTTTGCTTTTTTTCCTTTTGACCTTCTTTCTTCATGGCATTCTTCTGCTCTGGTTTTTTGGCATTATTAGTGGTAGCATTATTAGTAGAAGGCGTCGCTATAGAGTGTTCTTCTACTTTGGTAGCACTATATTGATCAACTAAATTTTGAAGCTTGATTTTTTCAATGGAAAGCCGCATTGAATTTGAAACTTCTACATGCAACTCTTTGGTAATATGTTCAAGTTTTTGTTTCAATATCTTTACTTCTTGCTCCAATATTAAATTCGAATCGGTTGTTGGTGTTTCCACGTCAACTACTTCTTCCTTAAGTGAAGATATTTCTTTTGTTTTATCAGCAATCTGCAGCGATAAACATTCATTTTGACGTTCAATCTGAGCATTATCGTCCATGATTTCGGTATATAGCTTTTGTAAAGCCAAAAATTCTTTTTCAATATCGTTGTCCGTAGACACCTCGGCTCTTAACACTTCCACTTCTTCCTTAGTTATATTATACTGCTGTTCTAACTGTCTAAGTTCTGTTTCATTACTTTGCAATTCCTCTTGAAGTTTTTCATAGACATCGTTCCTGCTCTCATTAAACTTAAGGAGCAATTTCTGCATACTTTCATATTGAAATCGGCATTGAGGGCATACTGTTGATCTGAAAGTAATAAATACCAATTAGTCCGCATGCTTGGACGAACATTGTCCACATTCACCTAGTACCCCATTCCTGGATGCAAGCATAATGAAAAACATGGCCGCAGCTAATGCTACGTACTTCATCGCCATCTTTAAAATTTTCCTTACATATGGAACACAAAGCAGAAGGCGCTAAAGACATTCTTAACATTCGCTAAATGGTCAAAAAGGAAAAAGTCAATGTCAAGCTGTACCACAATAAGAAGCTACAGCTATTTAGAAGCATAATTAATCCAACGGCAACTCGGACGTCGTCTTTTGTTCCCTCAATAACTTACTTACTTTTCAATATTTACGCTCGACCATATATCCCAAACTTAAATCGAATACTTTTTCTTCCAATTTAAGACTTTGAAGTGAAATGTATTCGTTAAAATAGCAACGAGTTTCAAATTGGGGAGAAAAAAACTTTTTCATATCATGAATTACTCTGAACTAGCAGCTGTCCATTTAATAACGAGTTATCTATATTTTAAACGAGAGGAAGGACGTGAAATTGACAACACGTAAAGTAAAAACTCATTTACGTGGGGCTCTCAATATCGCTGAAAGCAGTAGAAAAGGCACAAAGTTCCATTTGTTTCAACCTTAAATAAAATCGTATATAACTTTTGTGTTAGTGAAATAATGGCGCATTACATGGAAGTAGATTAATAAACAATTCGCTGATAAAGAAGAACAGCAGCGATAAAGTACAAAGAGGAAAATTATTTGAAATTCGGGTGAATTTTCCATACCCACTAACGTGATGACTGTGAACACTGAAAATGATGTTTCTATATTCTGCAAAAAGAGGTGGGCGTATACAGTTGAAAACATTGGATGATAACCGCATTTCAAGAAAACCTGCACCAAAAATTTAAAAGACAAATACATTCGATTTTCGTTTCAACAAAACCTACAGCAAAAATTTATAAGAAAAATTCTTGTGATTTCGTTTCAACAAAGCCTGCACCATCCAGTTTTTAGATCTGATGATTATTATGACCGATTATGTATCGAGCATTCTCGAAAAATCTTCACAAATATCGACATATCTTGTTGTCTATGCTGTGCATGACTTTGCGTACAAATCTTCGGGGGACGCTAATGTAATGTTTCGCACATTGTCACGTCCTGAGGCCATTGATCAATGCAATTACGCGAGTAAAATAGGTCCGAAAATATTAAGATTCTACGCACATACATTTGCTCCTCCGTATCCATTGAAAAAATTGGATCAATTTGCTGCTCAAGATTTAGGAGCGGGAGCGATGGAAAATTAGGGTTTATTTACTTGTCGAGAAGCTGCGATACTGTTCATTGAAAATCTATCTTCAGAAACTAGTAGACAACGTATCCCTGATGTAATAGCTCACGAGTTGGCCCATCAATAGTTCGGTAATTTAGCGACAATGAAATGATGGTCCGATTTATAGTTGAATGAGGGTTTTGCCACCTATATCGCAAGCTTGGGCATAGCCTTTTTAAGTCCGGAATGGTGTTCATTAAATGAGGAGGCTTTAAATAATACCTTGACAGTTTTCAGGCGCGATTCCCAACTCAGCAGTCATCCAATTTCGTTACCGATTGAGAGTACTCGTCAGATTGCCGAACGTTTTGACGCCATTTTGTATAACAAGGGCGCGGTTGCTCTACGAATGATTTATTTGATACTTGGTCAAGATGCTTTCTTTCAAGGTATAAGCTCGTCTCTAGGCTTCATCATCAATTTGTTGCTAATTGGAAAAAACCGGGTACAAGAAACTGTCACCAATGTGTCATAATTTTAATAGAAAATCGTGCGGGAAAACCAGCAAAATGAAGGTAATTAAATTGTCTTATTGAATTAACTTAAAAAATGTTACTTTCTTTCTTCTATTTTAGAACAGAAAAAGTCCATAAGGAATGTTTCGAAGGAAAATCGTGCGGAAAAACCAGCAAGCTGAAGGTAAAAGCATTATTATATAAATATATATATAAATCTCTAATTTCCGCCAACCACACACTCTGCGCTCAAGTATAAGCCCGCTCTGTTATAAGTAAGGAGAATCAGGCTTGGATAACCGCAAATAAAAGTTGATCCAAATATAATAAAAATGTATTAATAAATTTTTTTTTGTTACATCCATTTGTATTTAATTTTAGACAAGTATAAGCCGTTCGGTAATGTCGCTCATTACCGCCTCATTGCTTCCACGTCCTAAGGTATTTATAATGTTACATAGGTACATTTATAAATTTCTTATTATTATTCTATTTTCGATTAGAATAAAAATCAAGTCCAGCTATCCGGTCGCCGCTTCATATCAATTTATTCACTTCTTTTCATCTTATTTTAGATTAAAAAACAAGAAAACGCCTCCACGCATCGCTTCAACAAAATGCGTTACTTCCTTAGGCCAAATGGCAAGTTCTGATCATCTTTGTGTACAAAATTTATTAATCACAATATTTTTCTTTTGCAAATCTCAATACATGATACATGTTATGTATCATTATGAATCTATATATTAACGGGGCGTTTTATTTATTACTTATTATTGTAAATACTATTGTAATTTTTAATTAAGTCTATAATGGTGTAGACCTAAAGGGGTGCCAGCCATTTAAAACAATTGACAACGCGTGTACTACGGTACCTCATGGGTGGCGTGGAAAACCGTCCTCGTAGTGTCAACAATTTCATTGCGTGAGCTAATATATACCTTACATTCCAGAAAAGAGGGTTACTGCCGCCCGATGTGATGGAGTTAAGTTTGATCAGATCAGATCACTTTCTGGAGAAAACCGAATTCTTAATGGGGTAAGTGCTGAAGAGATTAATTCCACGATCCAAAACCATTTATTGAATAATGAATGGAAGGAGATGCTATAACGTCGCAACCGTTGAAGAAACTTGCACGGAGGCTGACTTATTAAACAAGTAAATGATGAAAAGAAAAAAAACAATTCAATTGAATATGAATTAAAACCATTGTAAAGCAAGTATCGAAAATAAAAGGCGTTTCAATAAGTGCACGGAAACTTGAAAGAGATGAGGATAGCAAAGTTCTCAATTTAAAAATTAAAGCCAGAAATGTTGAACTATCCGATGATCGCTTTGAGGCGTTGAAGAGAAACGAATCTATTTTTAAATTCTGCTCACATTCGCTGTGAAGAAAGCGTCAAGAAATGTTTGTTATCCATGTATGGATTCGCAATACCTTAGAACAATTTTAATAAGATAATCCTGAATAATTTTTGAGAATCAAATGCAAGCAAACTTTAAAATCCATCTAAAATGGATAAAAGACTATTTGGTAGCCAGGAGGCACGAATCATAGCATGTCACATCTGTCACATATGCCTTCTCCATACGAGCATTACGATTCAACTCTCTTGACTCGACTTACTCTGCCTTCCGCAAATATTCTGCTTATATACCCCTCCTTTACTAGCTACTTACCAGTTCTTCACTTCATCTCGATATTTTTGTGTTAATCTCTTTTTCCACTAAATTTTCTTCCGCTTGTCGCCAGCTGCGTCATGAATGCGTGTCTGGTTTTATCATTGTTGGAATTTGATTTCATAGAAAATCGGCTAATTTTCATGCGAAATCGTTTTATCAAATGTGGAATTTTCGTAACGGTACACACATAATGCAGGATCAAAATCTCTTGTGGATTTTAATTTAAAGTTTGCTTTCATCTTCGGCACATTTCTGCTGAGTTTTAGTTAATGCATCCTTCTGACAAGATTTGGATCTCCAACACTACTTACTGCCTCCAACACTACTTGCTGCCAATCACTCTAAACACGCCTACCAGCGCCTTTAACCAGCTCGTGTAGAACCTGCCATGACAACAAAAACACCGAAGAAAGATTTAATTAAAAAATTACCAGGCCAATGCTATACATGCGTACCAACTTAACCACTTATCTCCCCTACCCTCACCAAAAAGCATAAAAATTGTTTAGAATTTTACACTGTTCACTATCATACAACCACAAGGGAGGAGATCTGTAATCTCTAATAAAGTGAAATATCACTGTAAACTGCTTACAATCAAAACGTTACGATATCGTTTTTACATTTTGCCGTCATCCCTTAGCAGCTCATTACGGTATTGACGAAAATATTTATTAACATACATATGTGCCTACCTTAGTAACGAAAGCGTACTACTTATCGGAAAATTTCAATCGGTATAAATTTTGATTTAAAAGCCAAAACGATCGTATTAAAGATGATATCGCAACAGCGCCGTTAATGTCCTACGTATTTATAATTAAGATATTATGCGATTAACTCGCTATACAGTGCGGCTTCGTTGCCAATATTTAATGGCATTCATGCCATTAGGCATTGAATTACAAAGCATGGATATGCTAAAGATTTCTTACTTTGACGAATGACGTAAAGAATTCATTTAAAAATTCGTTTCACTTCAAACAAATTTCTTATGAAGGGCATACGCGTCTCAAGGTCGGGATAAAGTTTTAATTGAAATGAATTTAACAATCGAATCTGTATATGACGAGATGAACTACATTTTTATTCTACCATCTCTTACGAACCTTAATCGTACCGATCGATTTTTGTTAACGCATTCAGTCATAGATCACTCCGCAATTAGTTTAGATAACTTGTATTCGCAGGAGTAGTCGACTAGACAAATGATCACAATGGTCGCGGGTTCTAATCCCAAGTGCGATAGAGTTTTCAATACAGACGAGCATACCATCTGAGTTACACGGCGGCATTCAAATCTGTACTTTGTAAATTTCATTACAAAATATATAGATAAGAAATATATAAGTAAATAATAGCTCGGACAACTTGTTTTTATTATCTACTTAAAAGGTCAACCAGACTACCTTACTATGTTTTTGAAAGGGTAAGCAAAGGTCGAGGTTTATTATTGCGGTTAGGCAGAGTAAGGGAACAATGTTCATTAGACTGCCTCTGAAATGGAAATCTTCACACAAACCACTCAGGGAAAGTTGCCTACTTGTGTGCAATGACAGAAGCAAGCGAGGAAAGAAAAAAAGCCAGGCAATCGGCCGCAGTGTAATGGATGTGTACCCAGTCGGAAAATGTTATGCCTTTAGTGATTGAGCACGCAGTTGAAGTGGGTGCTTTGGGATTTGAACCCACAAACACTCGCTTGGTACTTTAAACTTCCTTACCTGCTCAGCTACTTATGCGGACACGTATTACTTAAATGAAGTACATTCCTAAAAACTCATACTACTCAGAAGAGATAAGCCAATGTATTTCAGGGAATGCCTTAAGTTCATATCGATCAACAATAAGTCTGTCTCGTTTTTCATTAGATTGTTTGTCCAAGCCTAAGTGGTGGCAAAATACGGCACTTTTTTCACATTGTTGTAGAAGTTGTTACCTATCGTAGAAGCCAAGAGATAAGAGGTAAGAAAATTATATTCGATTGCGACTGACACTTTTATATCCATCATTGTTTTCCTATGAAAGATTAAAAAAAGGGAAAAAGATAAACTTGCGTATTGCATAACATTGGATAGGCGTTGCTTTTTGTAGAATAATTAAGTGGAAATTTATATCGTACATTATATATTGCACTTAATGAGCAACGAGCAAAAAATGGAAAGCAGAGTTGTTCTCAGTGTTGGTTGTATAGACGTGTGGATGTTGTAGGCTTGCGCATTATCAGACCTGCAAACTTGTAGGCGATATGCTCTAACTTGCGGACGAGGAGACATTACTACATAGTTTCGTAGACAGACAGATGGACAGTGAGACATGCTTACGTGCATTCTGAATTTAAAACTGGCCAAGCATTTATATACTTTATGGGGCTTTTAAAGTTTACTTTTGCATTTCACAAAGGTATTGAAAAAAAATTAAATCCTGATACATTCTGGGTAGTCGAGAGTGATGTTGGAAGCATGTTTCCAGTTGGGATGGAACTGTGTAAAATGCCCTTCGATCGATATGGCTCATTTTCAACATCAATCTGTATGCAAGAACTTCCAATCTTTCTGCTAAATTTAAAGTCGATAACTTAATTTTTGCGTCCAAGAAAATCTTTACAACAGACATTACACCGAAGGAGAGGCGGATAGATGAAAATGCTTAAATACAAAAGCATATTTGTTATGAGTGTCCGCATACTAGAACATGTCCAAAGCATCACACGACGTGATCTAACTTCCCAAAAATTTTTTAGCTCTCATCTTCCATCGAAGAATACTAGAAATTATACTTTCTCTCCCTCTAAGGGCTTCCTTTCCATGATAGTCCCGATATGTGTTGGGATGTTAGGAAGACGGACGGACGGACAGACAAACATAAATTAGTTCAGAAAATGAACAGAAGAAATCAAGAGGACGCACGGACAGACAAATATAAATTGGTTGGAAAAGTGATTCAAAATCTCAAAAATTGCGAAGTGCAGAAGAAAACAAGAGAGAAGGGCGGACAGACAAATATAATTTGGTTGGAAAAGTGATTGAAAATCTCAAAAATTTCGAAGTGTAGGTTGAGTAGAAGAAAACAAGAGGGACGGGCGGACAGCCAATGTTTGGCATTGGTTAAGAAAGTGATTCCAAACTGGAATAAGAAAAAGTGAAGTCTATCTTAAGACATGGTAAGTATTAGTGCAATACAGCTGGTGTAAGGAATAAAAGTGTTTTCCACCGAATAAATTTACAACAGCCATAAAAGATTACTTATCTTATTTGTCCTCGAGCAATACCTTCCAGAATGTGCTCTAATGAAAAAAAAAATGAAAAAAATTTCATTGTCCTTTTAAGAACATATCTTAAAAAAAACAATGTCTTTTTTTGTATTAAACAAACAAGCTGATAACTTTTTACTTTGCTCCCGTCAAAGTATTAAAATGTTTTTTTAAAGAAAAAATCATTTTTCATAAAAACTCGATAAATATGACTTGAGTACATATTCTGGAGAGCAATTATTGACGCTTTTTAAAATGTGTCTAAAAAAAAAAAAAGAAAAAATATTTAATGATCCTTTGCTTACATGTCACTAACTATAACAATAGGATGCAACTTAAACGCAATAATTTGAACAATATTTTTTACTTTTTTATTTTTGTTTTTTCTCGAAACAAAACAATTAAAGAAGAGCGGAAATAATTTGTTGGTTGTTCTTTCCCATTTATAGCGGGAACTATGAAAAATAACAAATTGTTGTTCAGTTAGAGTTTGAACGGTTTACACCCACCCACAATACATGGAAATCATCCCTCCTGTCATTTTTATTAATATTGCACGTCATGTAGGGTTTTATCGGTAAATATCATAATTTTAGTGTTTTTAGTATATTATACCCTACACCACTTGTATATTAAATATGTGCGCACTTATGTAACACCTAAAAAGACTTGACATAGACATACCTTTAAAATCGTTTTCCGAATTTATCTAAACTTGTCTGTCTGTCTGTCCGCCTATTGTCAGTCCAAGTATATTTTTGTTGAATCTACATGTTGCAATTTTCGATATGCTTTGGCCCAAAGACGACCTCTAGTGAAAATGGCTTGAATCGGATTACTTTTTCGATCACTCGCCATAGACCACCATTTTATTTTGTTAAGTCGTTGTAAGGAAAAATATTCTAATTTTTAGAATTTCGCTTAGCAAAGTAGTATTTCAGAATTCTGAATTGGCGTAAAAACTTTGAATTGGATGGAGCAATTTTTTGGATCCCTTGGACCACGTACGTTTACTATATGGGCCCCATTAGAACTCTAATCCGAAAAACAAGCTCTATATCCCAAAAATGTCTAATTTTTAATATTTTGTGGTGAAAATTGTTTCTTAGCAAATTAACCTTAGGGTATTTGGATCACGTAGACAAAGGGGCTCCGATGAACGCAAGCCCTTCGATGGCGACAATATCTCATTTATAATGAAAGCATAATATGATCTTTTACGTATGAATTAAATTTGCCGAATGTGGATCAGCAGGGTTTTCAAGAAAATTATGCATTTACATAACAAACGTATAATGTATCGTGTGGTACACTCCCACGGTAATACCAAGAAATGTGCATATACACGATTGTACGAGGTCGCATCAAATAAATATATCCCTGATTAATGAAAGGCTAGGAGTCATGACTATTCGTTAGAAAGGCTACGACTGTAAAAATGGATATGAAAGCTTGGAAATTGACTTAGCTCTTAGTTAATGGCGACAAATCGTCTAAAATTTCAGAGTAACACGAAACTCGTTCCGATCGCTTAACTCAAGCGCTTGCAATTAAAAAGAATATTTTAATTTTTTTTTTATAAAAAATAGTCGCGATGTTGAGTATCAAAAATTCGTTCTAAGACGCACATATATTTAACTATTTTTTTGTTTTTATGTTTTAACTCAGGTGTTCAGCAATGTATACGAATTGAGACTTTTTCCTATAGAGCGCAGGTTGGGTAAGAATTAAATATATTTTCACATGTAGACATACGTGCATCGTGCAATATGTCCTTCGTGTACAGGTAATAAAATTATTGGAATTTTTTTTAACCCCTTTTGACATTCCACCTTTAACATAATTATCGGTCAATAATGTATTTAGACCATATTACCATTTAAGAGTGCATTAAATTTATGCGGACGTACGCAACCGCCGGAAAAACTTGAAATAGATCCATCTCTTCTTAGAGCGATCGATTCAGAATCTTTTTCTGAATCGATTTAAACTTGTCAATTCATCTGTCTTTCCGCATTTTTTTATTCAATCCGAGCAAACGAAACTTTTGAAAAGCTTTGTCGAAATTTGGTACTGTGTCAAGAACGAAATCTCCTGAGAACGGATTGGATCGTCTTAGACTATATTCCAATTCCAATTCATTCAAATATTATTTCCAATTTATTTGTAACTGGGTGAAGAATGCGCTAATGTTTTTTAGAATAAATTGGAAAAAATTGAAAATCAAATTTATCGTTACTTGTCGAGATGCCAGTAAACCGATCGGGACCATCCCTGACAAATATATTTGAATAGCGGGCGCTCCGAAATATCTTCACGAGATCGAATATTTTCAAAAATGGTCGAAAAAATGGTCCGCGACATCTTCTTTGGTTTTTGGACCAAACTTCGAAAACACAACAGAGAGACGGACAGACAAATTTGGGCTCAGAAAGTAATCAAGAAAGTGCTTCTGAATCGATCCGTATAATAAAAGATCGGTCCATGTACAATCCTTCTGGGTGTTGCATATATCCGCACAAACTTTATATATCCTTATACCACAAGTAGTGTATGGTATAATAAGTAAGCAAATTATATTCGGACGTAACTAAATGTTTTATAACAACCATATATATCCCTAAGTAGATTAAAAGAAAAACTAAACTTCCTCATTCAGGCGTGGACGTTGTAGGGGTATCCTTTGACTAACTTAGGACATTTTCAAATTCTTTTACAAGTTTGTAGGCGATATCTCCATTTTTGTGACCGGGACACTACACGTTTTGGCAGAACAGACAGATGGACAAACGCACAGGAAGACATATTTATGTGCATTACGAATTTGAGACCGGTCAAGAACATATATAGTTTATGAAAATTTTGAAGCTTGCTTCTACAAGAAAGAAGAAAGGAAGAAATGACATTTTGGCACACTACATTCAAGTTTTGGTAGGTTTGTATGCTGTTGTTTGTGAGTAATGTGTGAAAAATCAATTTTTTTTTTTTGGAAAACAGAGATATTCCTAATCTACAGTAACCGAGCCCTTCGACCGACTGGGCCCATTTGTAATATCAATCTGCATGCAAGACCTTACAATGTAAAGTATGGCAGCTACGTGACGAAAATGGCACGCAAGTCTTACGCGTTTTTCGACTATCGATTTGGTCGAGGAAGAAAGTTAACTTTCAGATACGCGATTCCCATCCTCATATTGTGTATTGTATCGTGTACCATGTAAAAAGCGGGCAAGTAACCAGTGTGTGTGCAGTATCTAAAATGAGAGCAGGATAAGTCAAAAGTGCATTAGGTATGTTACTATATTTTTTCTTTTCATATTTTAAATTTAATTATTCTTTATTTAAATTTAAATTTTACTAATTTCTCAAAAAAAAAACTTTCTGTTAATATATCCACAGTCTTCTTCTTCTGTAATAAAGCTCATACTCAATGGGAAGTGGTGAATAAAAAGAAAAACAAATAAACAATTATCTGCTAAGAAGAACAAGCATGAATCATATGGCCCGATTTGATTTGGTCGCACAGCTGTACTAATGGAAAACTTTTTATTTGATAGCGAAGAAACATTGACGTGTTCCAGCAACTATAAAGCAGGAAAAAGAATCGTGTCTATATATATAGATATAAAATTTAAGGAAAATGTTATAATAGTAATGAAAAGATCAAATAAAGGCTAAAAAAAGAGACAAGAGAAAAGAATAATGATGTTACCAGAAAGAAGTCGATTTTTTATCTACGCTTTAGGTATATTTTTTTGTTATTTCCTATATGGGATAGTGCAAGAGAAAATTACTCGTGGCCGATATGGCACGCACAAGAATGATGACGGTACAATAGGTGAAAGATTTACATATGCCTTGGCTTTGGTATGGATTCAATGTTTATGCAATTTTGTATTTGCTAAAGGTATATACATATATATATATATATATATATATATATATATATATATATATAAGATATGAAATGGATTTTTGTGAAACGAGTTTTTTTCTATAAACATTTTAGGTCTTCTCACGCTTCAACCAAAAAAAGAAGATAACACACATATAGGTTATTATGCCGTTAGTGCTTTAACTTATTTATTGGGTATGATTTCTTCAAATATGGCGCTGCGATGGGTTTCATATCCAAGTCAAGTTGTCGGTAAATCTGCAAAACCGATACCCGTAATGATATTGGGTGTTTTAATCGGTCGAAAATCCTATTCATGGATACGTTATGCTTGCGTTGTCACTATCGTTCTCGGAGTTGTGCTATTTATGTATAAAGAGAGTAAAGCAAATGCTACAGCGACCGCCGATAACGCAGGTTTAGGAGAATTATTACTCTTTTTAAGCTTATCCATGGATGGTTTAACGGGAGCAGTGCAAGAACGCATGCGTTCATCTAGCGCTCCTACCGGCCTGCAAATGATGTTATCTATGAATTTTTGGAGTGTTCCAATGCTGGGATTTGCTATGATTGTTACGGTATGTAATCGTATACTAAAAAAAATATTCTCTATTTTTTAATTTCGTGATATTTTTTAACATGGTCGCGGAATATTTTTATCATGTTCGCAACTCTGTGTCTCTCTCTCTCTATTCTAAACAAAAGGGTATGTTTTTATAAATATATATTTACGGGTGCGTAATCATATATTAAAAATGTTTTCTATTTTTTTAATTTCATGAATTTTTAGGCGAAGGTAAAGATTTTATATACTTCGCTTCACGTCATCCAGAGCTATGGACTCACATGTCTATGCTGGCTTTATGTGGCTGCTTTGGACAATTTTTTATATTTCTAATGGTGGCCAAGTTTGGTCCGTTGGCTTGTTCCGTCGTAACCACTACACGTAAATTCTTTACGGTACTTTGTTCGGTAGTTGTATTTGGGAACGTTTTAATACCGCGTCAATGGATTGGCGCCATACTAGTTTTTGCTGGTTTATTTGCCGATATGTTTTATGGAAAGAAAACTCATATCCCAGCTATGCCGGCAGCAAATAAAAAACTTAATTTTAATAAAGAAATGGAAGCAGATGAGAAGAAAAAATTATCATCTTAGATCGCCTCTTTTTTTACGTAGTGCAAGTCGAGATAAATGTCTATCATGCAATTTAGTTTAATTATTTACATTTTGATCGATGTTAAATTCCATTTTAATAATTAATTTTATACAAACATTGTACAATAGTTTCAAATGTTACTACTAATCATGATGCAAACACTTTATACATAAATAAATTATAAAATTAATATTTAAAAAGTTATACAAACATATACAATGTATATACGCATATAATGCTATAAATAGATTTAATAAAAAATTGCAAATTATTTTACATAGTTGCGTGGTTTTGTTGCACAGATACAACACATTCATCATGTTATATCCTCCTCGGTTACCACTTTCTTGCTAACCACAAACGTATAAAGATATTCCTTTAAGCGATTATATTCGGTGATCGCATCGATTTGTTGAACTCTATTTATAGAGGCCAACGCTTGAATACCTTGGTCGTAGGCGGATGACTCAGAGGCGGCTCTTCTCATGCCGCGTTCTTCATAACTTTTAGCAGTATCATCATTATCCAAGAAAAATTCCACTTTATCGCTTTTATACATATCCATACAATTCATGCAACAACACATTTGTGCGTGGCTTGGCTAAAAGTACATATGTACTCAAAGCACACAAACGGTGCTTCTTTTTCTTTTTTTATATTTTCATACTCACACTTCAAAATATACTTTTTAAACTTATTAAAAAAAATTCCTATATTTTATATTAATTTATTTATATATTTTTGCGTTCACCTTTATATTTCTTGAATTTATTTGGAACAAATAAAGAATGACACACTGAAAATTTGCGCTTAACGAATATACGCTTATTTTATAAAGTTCTACAATACATGCATAACAAATGAGAACGAATATACGCTTATTTTATAAAGTTCTACAATACATGCATAGTGCTAAATAAAAACAGTTTGATCTTACACATTTTTAATATGGTATGTCCTTGGGTTACTTTTCCCAAAATATATCAAAAATTGTAACGTGTAATTTGATCATAAATGTATATTGGTAGGTGTCAAACAGAGGGCCGGACAGATGGACAGACAAGTTTAATTTAATCAGAAAAGGACCTCAAACCAATCGGTATAATAAAAATTGGTCATAGTTTAAGTTCTTATAGATGTTACATACACACATAAAGAGCATATACACCATAGCATGGCGTAAATAGGACAACAAGTCAAGACAGATGCAGTAACTACGCGTGCATAGTCGAATACGCAATACGAATGTAAGGCTTCAAAGTATGTATGTACGTATTGCTGCACAATTATCTTCGTGAAAGCAACTTTCCATCTCGCCCACAGTCACTTTTTCAACCCATTCTTTCTTATTTAAAACTTTATAAATACCAACATAATCAGAAAGTTTGTTCTGTTTTTCGTTACAGTTTTGAAAGTTGGGACATGTTTGTTATTCATGTATATAAGCATGTGCGAAATGTGTGAAATAGTTTGCCGTCGAGGATATTTTTCATGGTAGAGGATATTAAATAGAAAACCATCATGACATTGTAACTGTCCACGAAGATTAGATTCTGCAAGAGTAGAATTGCTCACTTCTTACCTGCTCACGGCAGTTACTATGCGGGAATGGAAAAAACGCTTTGTGACAAGACTAAAGATTAAGGGAGACGTCTACACGAACGTTTGATCTATTGTCTGGGTACGTGTCTCGGTATGGTGGAGTCTGTTGTTACCTCGAAGTTTCCAACTAACAAAGAGGTGTTAGACAGGCCTCGATACTATGATCAAAATATAGAATATTTAAGTGAAATAAATGACCACGAACATATATGTATTTTTATTGTGTAGTTTTAAGTACATTATATCATCTAAAGCAAATATGCACATATAAAGAAAAGAAATATTATGTCAACTATTGTCTTCTTTTTGTTGTCATCTCCTCCTTCTGGAGAGTCCTCAAATACTACATCCTTTCTTGTTCTTCGGGAGTCTATACATTTTTTACTTCTTTCATCGTATCCTCCGCTTTAGTGCAGCATTCGATTAACTCTTCGTCAGAGACATGAAATTCGTACTGTGACAACAATTTATGGCATGATGTAAATTTGCTGTATTTTTGCGAGCTTGTCAAATTGTCAAAATTGGCTGTTGTCCTTTACACATAAGGCCGGGAATCTTCGTATCGGCCCACACTTTTTTGTAAAACGTTATCTTTATTTGCTTCCATTTTTCGCTAATTGAACAGATTTAAAAAGAAAATTAGGTAAGCGGGTGACTTTCTTCAAATTTATTGTTTTCTTTACTTTTCAAAACTTGAATAAATTAGAGAGAAAAATTGTTTTTTTTTTGACACTTTGAATGCAGTTGAAAAAAATTGTTTTTTTTTTTGACACTTTGAATACACTTAGAAAAAATTGTTCTCTTGACAGTTGGATACACTTTTTTTGACAATTGAAAAGATTTAAAAAAAATTGTTTGTTTTTTTTGACTCTTTGTATACACTTTTTGCAATTCTTCGTCTTGCGTTTGATAATCGTTAATAATACGTATTAAAATTAATAAAGCTGTGAAGGAAAAAATCTAGCGGATTTCATAAATTCTTGAGAACATATATACGGCTTTACTAGAAATATACATGACCTTATAGAATAAATGCGTATTTATTTTAAGATGTTTAGCGATTCTACAAGGTCTTTTTCAGATTAACAGCTGAATTAAGTTAAGTTAATTTGAAAATTCTTTAGGCACACTTCTATGTTCCACATGAACAGCGCAATCGCGATTATAAAATTTCTTAATTTCTTTTATTTTACAAGTTAGCTTAGAACTAAACCGTCATAATTTTTAAACAAAGTTCTCGCTAAATTCCCTGTTGAAAGGCAAAGCACAGGATCGCTTATAATATATATAAATGGTTAAATGCCCAACTTAACAACTTAAATGGTAATGCCATTCAGCTATGTTAAACGCGTAACTTAACAGACCAGAAGGCTTACCAAATTAGCAAAACACACGCAATTTAACATGGAAAAAACTTAACATTAGCTAACGAACCAAAATTAGCAAGGGCCGTCGGCAAAACTAACTAAGGAAACATGATAAAATTCTCTTAATAAACATGTTGCAATCCTTTCAGCAACATGTCGGCTTTAGTAAAGCCGATAGGTTACATCTCTTGGTAAATATTTTCTTAAATTTTAAAATAGCGCATGCCATAGATCACAGAGGAAAAAAATAATTTCTTCGAATTCTTAGTTCAGTTCTTCGTTCTTATTTCGCAGATTTGTTTTATTTTCTAAAATGCGCATCTAACACATAAAAAGTCGAACTTTTAATTCGTAGCGTTTTTAAACAATATTTTCTTTTTCATTCATTCATAAGAAAAGCCAAAACTTAACGGAAATGGTATGAAAAATAGCGAAGTAATAGTTTATCATGAATTGAAAATAACTTTTGCTATAGCTTATCTATAATCCGCAATTATATTCGTTCAACTTTATTTTAGATTTTTATCAAGTCGCATTTAAAATTCTTTATTTTCGCATTTTTACGATATTGCATAGCCAAGTGCTGTCAAGTTTGTTTCCTGTAAACATTTCCTTTGCAGTTTTCTTTGAAAGTAAAACAACCCTGATTTTCATGATAAGTGCATTCTTAAGAGAATCTATTTCTGCAGATATGAAATAGAGAGAGAGAGAGAGGGAAAGAGAAAGAAAGAGAGCATCCGAATTTGATATGAACTTTTAAGAAGAACATGAACGTTTTTTTTTCTTGTGTTATTATCAGGACAAGTGGGACAAGCACTCAAACGGAGATGATTAAATGTCCTTAAAAGTGCAAGAATAACAAGAATCCAATGAGAAATTAATTTAAAGAAATTTTAAAATAAAAAACAAAAATTAAAATTTTTAATTATATTAAATATTGAAAATTTATTAACAAATATTATATTAATATTACACAAAGTGTAATAAAATTTTTCGCAGCCATTTCATTTGCACACATTTGTGTGGCTATATGTGTGTGTGTTTATGTGCATATATACATAAACGCAATTGCCCGTTAATATTAAAATAAACAAAAAAAAACTGCTTAGAAGCATTAAATTTAATTCAACAAACCATAGAAAAAAAAAAGAATTGTATTTCTAAAGCGTATTAAAAATAAACACTTTTTATATGCTTTGAGTTGGTTTGCATGAAAAGCAATAAATTACCTAATTTAAAAAGAAAAAAAAAACGCAAATGTTGAGTACGGTCCAAGTTAAGTGTGTGTAAAATTTTTTTTAAATGCAATCAAAGTCAATTTGAAATTTACTCAATCGTAAGTATTGTTTGGTGAAAAATCATTAAATTTTTTTTTTTTTTTGATAATAAACAAAATAAAAGAAAAAAAGAACGGACAACGACACACAACCCTCATTCTGGTTGCTTAATCTTGTTCACTCTCGCTTGTGCCTTTTTTTATCAATAAATTTACGATAGCTCAGCTGTTTACCGTTTTTTAGTGGCCTTTCTTTCCCTTTTACTTATGCACATTTGAATGATTTAGTTAATTTCACAATTATTGCGTCTTCGTTTGGCACAAATTTGTTAAAAAAAATCTTCAAAATAAAATTGTTTAATTACTCGCAAAAACATATGGCATTTGCAAGGAAGGCAAATAAAATGGTCGAAAATTTTAGAAAAAGAGATAGAGAGAGAGACAGTGAGAGCCTTTGTAAGATGCCGGTTGTTTTGTTATTGTTTTCTCAAGGCAATTAACGGTAAAGTTTAAAGGAACTTCCGCTTATTATGCTTCTTTTTTTATCGTATATAAATGAATGAAAGAGAGAGTGAGAAAATAGATTTTATTTGAAATAATATTGTGTTTATGCCCTACATCACTTGTGCGTCAGGAATGTTGGTGCGGATGTATGTAATATCCACAATGACTTGATGAAGACCCACCTTTTATTATACCGATCGACTTAGAATCAATTTTTGCAGGTCCGTCTGTCTTGTTTTCTTTTTTCACTTTACATTTTTCGAAATATTTTGATAAAATTCGACACACTGACATTACCAACACCAACACCAACAAGGACTTGAGATAAAACCTTCTTCTATTATACCGATTGATTTAGAATATTGAAACTTTACATGCCTTTTAATCTTGCTTTTGATATTTAATAGTTGAAAACTGTCAAATCAACCCACGCGGCAGTTTTAGTGTTAATCGCAAAATTATCTAACGTCTTATTTTTACATAATGTTTCGTTATATTGTACTGTCTACGGCTAATTGATAACGCCTTGTAATCTACTCATTTACTCATTATTCTATTATTATTAATTAATTACTAGGATTAAATAATTGTTGTTAAGTTAATATTTTCAAACTAAAAAATAAGCGACTTTCACTTGCTCTACGGACCCTCCTCATAGGTGAGTAGAGGTTTAACAGTTAATGTCATTACAGGGAACGTTAAAGGCACGACAGAACCCAGAGAGAGTTGCGGTAGACCCATCTTGTACGATTCAAATTCTAAGTTTGTCTGTCCGTCTGTCCGCCTTATTTTTTCTTCTCAATTTACAAGGCGTTTATTGTAAT